CCTTCTGTGAAGCCTATACATATGAATTAGTCAATTAAAGGAGTCCGTTAATGGGAGTTGAAATTTTTCAAGTTAATTCTCTGTATTTTATCAAATCTTGAATATTAGAGAATAGTGAAATCATCTGGACTCATCATGCAGCCGTTTTCCCTTGGTGCCGGTTGGAATACACAATGTTGTTTATGGCAACAGACTCACTGCTTTCTGGATATCATTATCTTGCTGTGGCAAGGATAAGTTTATGCAAATAGGAAATGTCAACATCATTAAAGGACATCTCTGCACATAAATATTTAAAAAATGCAAGCACCTTTTCCCAGAATGCTTCCCACTAGTTGCTTCCAAAAATCTGAATCTTTGTAGTATTGGATTATTAGTATTCTTGTTTTCTTTTATGCTTCTCCTTCTATAATTGCTTGAGTATGGTTGTATGTGAGAAGCAGTTTGGCTGCCGGCTGGAAAACAAATGTATAGAAGTTGTGATTTCGACAAAAATCAGTTGTGGCGATTAGGAAAAAAAAGATGGATACTAACGTCTAGCAAATTATCTGGTTCAAGAACCATTCCCATGATTCTGAATTAGAAAAGGCTTGTCTGTTACACATCTGCCCGTGTTCCTAATTTTAAAATCAGAACACTTCAAGTTGGCTTGAGTTCTTGCAGCACCTCTGTGCGTTTTTAGCATTTTCCTGACTTCTTTGTCCTCATACTATGCAATGCAGAGGATCCAGAAAAGAAGATTGGTTCCATAAATGTAGACACTTGCTCTTCATATAATATTTATTCAGCTACAGAACATGACATTCCAGGTGTTGTTGAATTGCAGGCCCCAGCATTCTTCATTATGTGTTGTGTTGGTTAGGGTTTCATAGTTCCCACACTAAGTAAGCTGACCTTATAAGGTCAGATATGGTGGTTGAAACTGATATTAATCTATCTAATGATTTATCTACTCTACAACACAATAATATCACCTTCTTTTTCTGAACCCAAATCGGGTTTCTAGACTTCTTTATTTTGGAAATTATAGCAACTGGAGTAAATAGCACTTATGAATACTTTTGCCAGCACAGAAGTTTGACTGGCAGTTCTATCCGCTTCTGTCAAAGCGCACCAAAATTAAAGAAGAAAAAGCAAGAGGTAAATAAAAAGCACTCCGCAGCCACCTAAAAAGGCACCCTGGTTCAGATATATTAAGCAATTTATAGAGAGGCAATTTATTTAGTGGTTTGAGCATCAGACTAAGATTTTGGAGACCAGGGTTAAAATCCCTGTTTGGCCATGAAAACCCACTGGGTGACCTTGGGGAAGTCACACTTCCTCAACCTCAGAAGAAACCAAAGGCAACCCCTGGCTGAACAAATTTTGTCAAGAAAACACCACAATATATTCATGTTAGGATCACCATAAGTCAGAAATTACATATGAAGATATTATTCAATATATTGGAATGGGGGTTCCTTTTTAAATGGCTGCTTTTATTTATCTCTTGCTCTAATTTTAGTGAATTTTGAATCCAGAGTACAGAAGTAACGTGCATCCTTATATGCTGGTTAAGAAACTGGTAAAATAACTCTATCCCCAGTTGTAGTAATTTTTAGAAAGGCAATTTGCCCTATAACAGAGAACTGTGCTTGCGCGTGATATAAAATATTATCTTCATTGACCCCCATAATAAGAGAAAGTAGGGCCTCCATATTTTGGGCTGTACTGTCCAGATACCAAACAAATACTAATTGGATAAAGGATGGACTATATTGGAGTGAATGTATAAGAACAGGTATGGCATGGTTTTGGAAGCAATAGCTCCACCTGCCGGTTTAGCCAAGGCTTACCAATGCCACACTCTTCATGGCCAAGATGATTAAGGTTCAAGCTTTCCCTCTCCTTCCCTCCTTCTCCCCCACCTTTTAATATAAAAGTATGTCCTCCATAGTTTGTATGCATGATTTACGAATGCTTGTGGTTGAGTGATAGCTTGGCAGTGAAGGGAGACATGACAGAAGTAAAAAAAAAAAGTCAAAGACAGCATTTATTTATTTACTATATTTCTATTCCACTGTATCTCACCCCAAGGGCAACTCGGATTGGCTTACAATTTGTCAAAATTCAATGCCACATTATGCACAAAAGAAAAAAAGCAAATAGTAAATACCTTGGTCATAGGAATCGCAGTGGTGCAATGGGTTAAACCCTTGTGCCGGCTGAACTGCTGACCTGAAGGTTGGCGATTCGAATCTGTGAGACAGGGTAAACTCCTGTCTGTCAGCTCCAGCTTCCCATGCGGGGGGGGGGGCATGAGAAAAGATTACCACAGAATGGTAAAACATCTGGGCGTTCCCTGGGAATTGTCCTTGCAGATGGTCAATTTTTTCACACCAGAAGCGACTTGCAGTTTCTCAAGTCACTTCTGACACACACAAAAAAACCTTGGTCATAAAATTTAAACTGTTTGGTGAGTGGTTGTTTAGCAGAAAAAAAAAGGGGATCGGGTTTGTGGGGCAAATCCATTGTAGTACCATTTATTGTTCTGTTCAGCTACATGTCCTATGTGCAAAACTCCAGTATGTTTTTTACATGGAAGACCTTTTGATGAGGTCTTGGATTTGAAGGAGAGCAATACTTCCCTGTTGTCCTCATTCTTCTGGCGCAAATCATGGAAGGAGAAGGCCTGAGCCAGTAACCATAATCACATGATAATGAGGCCATAATAACTTGTTGGATATCGTGCTTCCCCATAGAGGACTTGCTCCAGCTTTATGATCACTTTTATTGCCCTTCCCTTTATGTTATCCAGCTCTTGTTGTTGAGTGTCTTCAGGTAGTTTTCAACCCATTATGACCCTAACACAATATTTTCTTGGCAAGATTTGATCAGAAGAGGTTTGCTTCCTCTGAGGCTGAGAGACCCCTACTTGCCCAGGGTCACCCAGTGGGTCTCATGGCCAAGCGAGAATTTGAACTCTGGTATCCAGAGGCATAGTTCAACAAGCCACTATGTCACATTGGCTCCCAGTCCAGTTCTACAGTTGTTGATATGATTATTCTTTTCAGTGTGTGATCATAACATAGGTTTATATAGGGGAAGTAAAATACTGTTAGTTTTGTTTTTGATCTCTCTTGTAATGGTCTCTGATGTGCATTGAGATGTTACTTTCACTAATATCTCCACTAGGGTGGGAAGTTTGGCCCAATTCTATCATTGTTGGGGTTCAGAATGTTATTTCATTATAGGTGAACTATAAATCCCAGCAACAACTCCCAAATGCCAAGGTCTATTTTCCCCAAACTCCACCAGTGTTCACATTTGGGAATATTGAGTATTTGTGGCATTAGGAAGATTGAGAAGCACTGTGCTAGGCCTTTGTTATGCTTTGTTTGAGGCCTCAGTTTGAGATGCATCATTTTAATTAAAGTTGCTACATTTGCTATTTGTTGCCCATTCATCCAGAGAATTAAGTGTACCATATGATCTGTTGGACTAGCTGCAAATGTAAAATTATAAATAGATAAATAGCCTCATTAAGACAGAAACCTCATTTAGCAGCTTTGGGTATATTTCATTTGCCTGCCAATCTTTGTCTTTCTCTCATTTTCCCCTTTTCACTAATGCTTGCATTTTTTATGTTTTGACATTGCTGCTACTACTGTGGCTGAATTTCCCCAGTTTGGGATGCTAGGCAGCTTGCAACCATTAAAACCAAACCTAGATCACCATATTTAAAAATAACTGAACTGCCAGTGATTAAAATGAGTTAAAAATCCAGCATGCTATGCAAACCCTTTTTCTCCCACAGAAACTCAATTCTCAGAAGCCTGTAAGAATAAAAGTGTTTTTTTAAAAAAAAATCTGCATGCAGAAAGAGAATAAAGAAGGTGCCACTCTACCCCACTGGAGAGAGTCCCAGAGTTTGTATTAGACAATTAAACTGGTTTAAGGCTGCAGTTATTTTTCTGGGGATTAAATCTGAATGTGCTTGTATAGCATTGCATTCCTAACCAAGGAGATTTAAGGAGTTTAGTTCTGATAGATTAAGGTAAAGGTTTCACCTTGGCATTAAGTCTAGTTGTGTCTGACTCGGGGTGGTACTCATCGCCATTTTTTAAGCCAAAGAGCAGGCATTGTCCATAGACACCTCCAAGGTCATGTGGCTGGCATGACTGCATGGAATGCCGTTAACTTCCTGCTGAAGTGGTGCTTATTTATTTGCATGTTTTCAGACTGCTAGGTTGGCAGAAGCTGGGGCTAACAGCAGGAGTTCATCGCGCTCCCCGGATTCAAACTGTCGACCTTTTGGTCAGCAAGTTCAGCAGCTCAGTGGTTTAACCAGGGACTCTCCCTTATCTCTGATAGATTAGAGATAAGAAAACTCTAGGGTTTATGCCCTTTGAGAGTGTTTCATCCCAACATCTCTTATTTATTATCACTGTTTTGGAGTTTAAAGGCTATTAAAAATGGTCAGTGATTGAAGATAAGACATGTAATAGTATGGAACTGTCCTTTGGTGTGTGGCCCATAAAGCTCTTGCACTTTGCAGACCTTTGCAGGATTGGGTTGTACCTTGTATGCTTGATGGAAAGTATCTAGCTAAGTAAGAATTACACTGCTCTCCACCCCATACCCTTCAATCCATCCACTTTCAGAGTCAGAGCCTTTCCAAACTGAAATTCAACTTCTGACCTGAAACAGTTCCCCAACTTAGTTAGAGCTTATTGGTCTCAATACATAATTTCCACATTACAGTTCCTAACAATTAGATGCTCCATGTGGAAGCTACTTAAGGGGGAAGATGAGCTATTAAATTCACTCCAAGTAAGACTGTTCTCAATTATGAATGAAAGAAGCTGCCAGTAGTCTATACCTGGGTGGCAGGAAGGCTTGTGGGATTGCTAAGCAGCAGAGGAATTTTCTATAAGGTATTGCGGCTATTAAAAAGTGTAGATGTGAGGATGTTGGGTATTGATGGGGAGTTTGGCTTAACTTTCTCTATTTTCATGCAGAATGTGAAGCACAGGAAAACATTCCGGATCGTCATGTCGCCATTTTCAGACCAGACACTCTGCTGATTTTGACCAGTGGCCAGCATAACAGAAGGTGTTTACTACTGGGTATACCATGGCTCTCAGCCTTTTGCTACTGAGTCTCAAAAGAAGACACAGGACTCAGATATCCTGTTCTGGATTACCTTGAATGCTTTCGGCTTGGCGCAGCCTTCCGGTGCTGAGGTGCGAGGGGAGCATGGCTCAGAAAGCCTGGCTCAGCACACTGTTCCAGAACCGCAAAGCCCAGCTGCTGTTGGTCAACTCTCTAACGTTTGGCTTGGAAGTCTGTCTTGCTGCAGGCATCACCTATGTGCCCCCACTCTTGTTGGAAGTGGGAGTGGAAGAGAAGTTCATGACAATGGTTCTAGGTAGGTATTTTCTTTATTGTATTTTAATAATTTATGCATTCTTTATGTGAGGTCTGATGTCTGACTTGAGAGGGTTTAAACTGCCCTGAATGCACCCAGTCCTGTTTGACATTGGAAGCTAAGTAGGATCAGATCTGGTTAGTACTTGGATGAGAGACTTTTAAAGAATACTAGGTGCTGTAGTCTTTATTTTGGGGTGGAGGGGACTATCAAAACTGCCTCTGACTATCCCCCTGCCTAAGAATACCTTAAGTCACAATAAATGACTTGAAGCCACATACATAATACACACAAAAACTGCATAGTGTTGCAAGTATGCACACAGAGAGATATCCAGAGGCAATCTTTGATGTGAATATGTGGAAGGGCTTCATCCACCATTGTAGATTTATTTATTTACAGTATTTATACCCTGCCCTTCTCATCCCGAAGGGGACTCAGAGTGGTTTTACAGAACACACATATGGCAAACATTCAATGCCAATTATACAGTAACAGGACAAACAACACAACAGAGGTAAAGGCAGTTTTTTCCATTTAATTTCCAGCATCTTGGAGGCTGTGCTTGACTCCAGGGGTATGTGTGCCCGCACACTGTCACTTCACCTTCCATGCCGAGGAGCTTTTCCTTCAATCGATGTACTTAAGGGCCCCTTTATTAGCTCCCCTCTAAAAGCGGTACCTATTTATCTACTCACATTTTTGCTTTTGACCTGCTAGGTGGGAAGGTGAGCTGGGACTAAATGCTCAATCCTGACCCAATCAACAGGATTTTTCTGCAGCACAGTGGTTTAGCCTGTTGTGCTAAGCCCGGCCCCCACTAGAATGAGGCCACCTTCCACTGGAGGTAATGCTTAATTAAAGAGATGCAAATCATTATGGAGTTTGTATATATACCATAACTGAGGGTTTTATCTTTCTAGTTCTATTTAGCCTACAGCTGTCATTAGTTTTAGCCAATATAACCAATGGTGAACTTCCACAATCCACACTCCCCCCAAGGAACAGGCCAGCAGGACATTTTGGGAACTGTCATCCATAAAAGTTACCTTTTCCAAGTGCTGAGTAAGAGTGATCATCTTGTCAAATCTCATCACCTCAGTTAACATTTCTCTTCCTTTCTTAATTCTAGGGATTGGACCAGTTCTAGGCCTAGTCTTTGTGCCGCTCATTGGCTCTGCCAGCGATCATTGGCACAGTAGCTTTGGCCGTCGCCGGCCTTTCATCTGGGTCCTATGTCTGGGAGTCTTCCTGAGCCTTCTGATCATTCCTCATGCTCATCGTCTGGCCAGCCTTATTGCCCTGGATACCCGCTCTCTGGAGTTAGCCTTCCTCATCATGGGCATTGGTTTGCTTGACTTCTGTGGCCAAGTCTGCTTCACTCCCCTGGAGGCTCTTCTCTCTGACCTCTTCCAGGAGCCAGACAATTGTCGCCAGGCCTTCTCAATGTATTCCTTCATGGTTAGCCTGGGGGGCTGCATCGGCTACCTACTACCAGCCATTGACTGGGACAGTAGTTTTTTGGCTCCTTACCTGGGAGGACAGGAGGAATGCCTCTTCAGCCTCCTTACCATCATCTTCCTTGGCTGTGTCTTGGCCACTGCTTTTGTGACTGAGGAGGTGGCTGCTCAGGTGGAAGTGCTCACAGGCCCTGCAATGAAGGAATCCTCCAGATCCCCACCCTTTAGCTGCTGCTCTTTCTGGCTTCCACAGAACTTTTTCAGGACCAGGCATCTAGTGCAAGCCTTTAGGAGCCTTTGTGCCTTGGCCCCGCGCCTACATGGAGTATGCTGCCGTATCCCCAAGGTAATCCGGCAGCTTTTTGTCGCTGAGTTGTGCAGCTGGATGGCTCTCATGACCTTTATGCTCTTTTACACTGACTTTGTTGGGGAAGGACTATACCAGGGAGTTCCCAGAGCTGAACCAGGCACAGAGGCCAGGAGACATTATGATGAAGGTAAGCTGATGATTTTTTTCAGGAGCTGGGGTAGCGGTGGGAGGTATTTGCTTCTTCTAAATTTGGAAGATGTTAGTGTCATTCAAGTTATGTAACTGAAACTCTCAAAGCTCCAATACATTATGCAAGTGAAGCAGACTTGCATAAAGTTTCCTTTGTACTTTGCAAATCCTTGGTTTTTGCTTAACTTGGAATTTGGGGAGGAAGTTGAGGGCAGGAGGAATGAAGCCAGTATCAGTGTGGTCCTAGGGTAGTCCTGGACTTAGATCAGGAAACCAACATTTTATAACCTTTATATGCAGAAATGCATTTGTTCAAATGCTTTAGTCTTTTGAAGATCTTCAAGTATGAATTCCCTCATTTTTTTTCCACTTTTCAAAAATCCAAAATATAAATATTACTTTTTAAGAGGCTTAGGCTGTCCATTGGCCTGAACATGTACCTCGCATCAGCAACTGAGTGCTCTTCAGATGTTTTAAACTATACCCATTGGCATTGCTGGTTGAGCTTTCTTGGGGAGCTGCAGTTCAAAACACCTGGAAAACACTAAGTTGTATCCTTAAGCATAGAACCATTTCTGTGCTTGTCAGAATAGGTACTAAAATTTAAAATGAAGCGTAAATATTTTGCATTTTAATGAAATGCAAAATTGTCTTAAGTTGGAATTTCAGCATTAATGTTTCTCCAGAATTAAATTCTTATCAAAGTATTAGTTTATTGTGCCATGATGCTAATAAGTCAACAAGCTTTTTATTATCCACTTGTGACCCATTCGGTACCAGGACAATTTTCTTTCCAATGTATATTCTGTGAAGAAAAGCATATGCGTGAAACATGGAATGTAAGAGTATTTTTCTGAAACCCACTGTCTCTTGTGAGGGCCCTGCTTTCATTGATATATTTATTAAGACTACTTGGGGGTGATGTTTTACCATTCATGTCTGCACAATATATACAATACTGAATATATGGTGCAGTATTGTATATATTGCCAATACAATATATGTGGACAAGGTGCTTGGAGGAATGAGAGCTACCACATGCATCCTAGACCCCTGCCCATCCTGGCTTCTNAGATGAAGCTCTCTGTCCCTTCTGGCAGTGGGTGGTCATTTGTGTAGATGTTGAACATGGATGGGGCAAGCACGCTCCCCTGAGGCAGGCCGTTCTTATGTCTCCGCCATCTGCTTCTCTGGCCCTGGAACTCAACAAAAAAGCTCCTGTTTTGTAACAGGTTTCCTATGAGGCGGGATTGTTATGATTGTTATGAAGTAGCAACAAAAACAATGTTATGGTTGGGGGTCACCACAACATGAGGGACTGCATTAAGGGGTCACGGCATTAGGCAGTTTGAGAACCACTGCTCTAAGGAGGAAGAGAAAATAGGGAATAAATAAATAAAATAAATAAATAATTGCAGGCGAAATGTCAGGAGAGAATGCTTCTGGAGCATGGTCAGACAGCTCGAAAAACGTACAGCAACGCAATGATTTGGACCATGAAAGCCTTCGATAATACATCGATGGGAACCTTTGGAGGGTGCTGTGTTGTGGAGGCCTGGATCCAGCTGTCATTTCTATCACAAAACACTTGCACTCCCCAATTTATCAAAAGTTGCAGATGTGGATCCACCAGAAAGGACCACGGTATCCTTCTGGGACGCCTCGCGGGGATGGGTCTTGGAGGTACTGTTCTGCAGTGGCTCCGCTCATTCCTCGAGGGTCGGTCTCAGAAGGTGTTATTGGGAGACTCCTGTTCAACCCCACAACCTTTGTCTTGTGGGGTTCCTCAGGGTTCAATACTGTCTCCCATGTTGTTTAACATCTACATGAAGCCGCTGGGCGAGATCATCCGGAGTTTCGGAGTGCGATGTCATCTGTACGCAGATGATGTTCAACTCTGTCACTCCTTTCCACCTGCTACTAAGGAGGCTGTCGAGGTCCTGAACTGGTGCTTGGCCGCTGTGACGGTCTGGATGGGGGCGAACAAATTGAAATTGAATCCAGACAAGATAGAGGTACTCCTGGTTAGTCGCAAGGCCGAACAGGGTATAGGGTTACAGCCTGTGTTAGACGGGGTTGCACTCCCCCTGAAGATGCAGGTTCGCAGTTTGGGTGTGATCCTGGATTCATCGCTGAGCCTGGAACCCCAGGTTTCGGTGGTGACCAGGGGAGAGCTTTCGCACAGTTAAAACTTGTGCGCCAACTGCGCCCGTACCTTGGGAAGTCTGACTTGGCCACGGTAGTCCACGCTCTGGTTACATCCCCTTGACTACTGCAACGCTCTCTACGTGGGGTTGCCTTTGAAGACAGCCCGGAAGCTCCAATTAGTCCAATGGGCGGCAGCCATGATACTAACAGGAGCGGGGCGCAGGGAGCATACAACTCCTCTGCTGCACCAGCTCCACTGGCTGCCGATCTGCTACCGGGCTCAATTCAAAGTGCTGGCGTTGGCCTTTAAAGCCCTAAACGGTTCTGGCCCAACTTACCTATCCGAACGTATCTCAGCCTATCAGCCCACCAGGACCCTAAGATCTTCTGGAGAGTCCCTGCTCTCTATCCCGCCGGCTTCACAAGTGCGGCTGGCGGGAACGAGAGACAGGGCCTTCTCTGTGGTGGCCCCTCGGCTTTGGAACACCCTCCCTATAGAGGTACGATCAGCCTCCTCGCTGATGGTGTTTCGGAAGAGATTGAAAACATGGTTGTTTAAACAAGCATTCGGTTAATCCGTTGCAATCGAATTTTGATGACTAAAGGACTGGTAATCATGGACGACGAATTTTGGATTGTGATTTTAGTTACGAGATGCATGGGATTATTATTGGTGGCCCAATAATTTGTATTGTATATGTGTTGTATGTTTTAAATTGAATACTGTTTTTTTAATTGTTGTAAACCGCAATGAGTCGCCGACTTAGGCTGAGATATTAGCGGTATACAAGTGTATAAAATAAATAAAATAATAAAATAAATATATAAAATATTACACTATATATTCAGTATTATATATATTGTATACAGTATTGTATACAATAGAATCCCACCAGTGATCTGCTGAGATCACAGGACCACTCAGCAAGTCTGAGAAATCTTGGAGAAGAATCTAGCTTACTGTCCAAGGCCATTTTTAAATTGGAGGGATTCCACCATATGAAGCAATAATCTAATTCACTGTACTTTGTTCAAATATGAGGACAACCTGCTCCCTTCCACTGCAAAGAGCCAATCTCTATTGGATATCATTTTGACTCATTAACACACCCATTCTAAAAGATACTTGGCATTTCATCCTGCATGATACTTCAGCATTGAATGAAATGCTTTGGATGAATCAGCAAACCAAAAATAATCTGTGGTGGACTTTGAACAAAAATAGTTCTTTATGAAAGGAACAGATGACACAGCTGTTGCAACACCCACTTTTTAACATCTAGCCTGGAGTTGGCTGGAGATGTTACTCATATATGAATTCTTTTGTTGCATGAGTTTTGCAACAATCTGAATCTAAACATTTGTCTCATTTCTTTTCTAACATAGAAAAAACAATTCAGATGTGGGAATTCTTGAGCATTCCTTGCTAAAGCTACTAGATCATTTGCCAGCCTGATGTTCCATATACAATAGTTCACCACAAGGTCTGGGTGACCCATCTCGAGTGTATTTAATTTTTAACATCTCTGCCCAGTGCTGCCAATGAGCCCTGCCAAAATTCAAAGTTTGATTGTGTGTGCACAATGAAGAACATTGAAGGATTGCAACAAACCACGACCATGTCCATGGATCCATTTCCATGTCTCTGTAGATATCCTTGATAGTTTTATGGTTGAGAAACTGGTCTTGGCACTGCTTGCAATAGTTAATTCAATTTTTGTTGTCGTCATGCAATTTAATCATACTACCTCATCCTTGGTGTTAACAATATCTATGTGCTGCAGTTCCCATGCAAAATCCTAGGACAGAATTCAATGAATATCTGTTGTTGTTTTATGTTGTTGTTTATGTATTTTAATGTGTTCTATTTTAACTATGTTGATCAGGCTCATCCCCATGTAAGCTGCCCCCAGTCCCTCCAGGGAGATGGAGGCTGGGTACAAAAATAAAGTAGTAGTAATGCTGTTTTGATGTTGTTTTGATATTGCTAGGTTGTTGTTGGATTATGTTCTGTAATTTGCACCTTATTCTCCATGTTGTACACCGCTATGAGTCGCCCCTGGGCTGAGAACAGCAGTCTATAAGCACAGTAAATAAATAAATAAATAAATAAATAAATAAATAAATAAATAAATAAGCAGTAGCAGTAGTAGTTGTTGTTACTGTTGTTATTATCTGGTTATGAAAGTTTAAAACTTAATAAAGGCTTTTAGGTTTAAGTTACATACTCATGAATTTTGGCGTAAGCTGCCCTAAAACCATTAGAGCTTACCTTTGAGTAGTAGACATATATAAGTTTGCATTGTTAAACTCTCACTGGTTGGCCACTATTTTGATTTTATTTGGTTTTATAAAAATAGACTGACTTCTGATTAGTCTGCCCAAAGATTCTTTTCCATTTCACCCAATGACCATGTGTCTCATTTCAGGAATTCGTATGGGAAGCCTGGGCCTCTTTCTCCAGTGCATCATCTCCATCTTCTTCTCGACAATCATGGACTGGATGGTGAAACACTTTGGGACACGAATGGTCTACCTAGCCAGTGTGGCTTTATTCCCACTGACTGCCTTCATCATGTGCTTCTCTCAGAGCATCGTTATAGTCACTGTTTCTGCTGCCCTGACAGGTTTCCCTTTCTCAGTGCTGCAGATCCTACCATACACACTGGCATCACTCTACCATCATGAAAAACAGGTATGTATTCGTATAGATGCAGAAAAGAGAAAGTATTTAGGAGACATTTGGGGTATTTCTAGGTGAAATGGGTGAGGAGGAGAATAAGCAACCTGGCCAAAGTGGAATCCATAGTGACTTGCCCAATCTAAGCTTAAAAGGCCTAACAACTTTTGTTCTATTCTGTTCTTCTGGAGCAGTGATTCCCAACTTATTTGGCTTACCCCTGGAAATCATTTTTTCTAAATCTTCTCTTCTTTCTTTTATGCTTTCACCGCCCCCTTACAGTTATTCATCACCCCCAAATGCACCTGTGGCCATTACCACCCCGCCCCGCCCCCCCAGATTGCTGCAGTGCCCAACAGGAGGCAGTAATGCCCACTTTGGGAATCACTGTTCTGGAGTATTCTAGTTTTACCTTATTTCATAAAGCCCTCAGTGGTCATCATCCTTATCCCATGGTAACTGTGTGGCAGCTGTGAACCCGGAATTGCCCATTGGAAGTCCCTTTTATAACCAAGTTTTAAAGGTATGGATAATGATGTCTCTCTCCTCATCCAGTATTGGCTATACATTTCCAATTTTGTAATGATAAAAAGTACTGTAATGGAAAACCAACTGACTAGTGACAACCCTTTATTCCTACCCAGTATCATAGGATGCAACATTCTTCAAGGCTATCAAAACGTGTTTGCAGCATCCCATTTAATACACCTTGTGTATTCTCCTCATCCACCCTCCAGCAAGTCCATGGTTGCTTGGTAATGATGCAACTTAGACATCTCACAGAATAGATTGCATGTTGTCTCCAAGCCAGACATGTCATAATGCAGGGAGGAGAAATGTGGGGAAATCCAGATGTTATTAGTCTAGAGCAGGCATTGTTGACTGAACTGGCTAGGGCAAATGAACGTGTTAGTTCAACAATCCCTGGAGTGCCAAACATTCTCTACTCCTATCTCAAAGAGAAGGATAGATGGTCATTTGAAACTGCAATGCCTTCAAAAGACAGTGATGAACTGTGACCCTTCTTGCTTACTTGTGTGTGTGTGTGTGTGGGGGGGGGGGGGGGTTCCTGGAACAATTTCCTGACAGAAGTCCAGTCTTTGATTTTTTATATTTTCAGGACACAGATTGGACTCTGATGTAACTGAGCACAAAAAAATGAGATCATTACGGTAGCTCAGGGCATCTGAGAGAAGCTGGACAGAGGGTGTCAGTGCTATAATAAACAATTCTGGAGCTTGAGGCAAGCTCAAAATCCTGTGCCCTTCTTAGGCCCCTTCCACACAGCTGACTAAAATCCCACATTATTTGCTTTGAACTGGAATATGTGGCAGTGTGGACTGAGATAACCCAGTTCAAAGCAGATATTGTGGGATTTTCTGCCTTGATATTCCGGGTTATATGCCTGTGTGGAAGGGCCTTTAGTGGTGCAGTGATAAACATTGAAGCAATGGTCATTAACAGTCCTTATAGCTACACTCTCAAAGTGCAATCAGTTGTGTTGATTGGTATTAAGCACACACAATAGTTAATAGGACTGCCCACTCATGACCAGGGCACTCAAAACACTTCGATGGGAATGGGTATAACAATACATTGTAGCTGTAGAAAATCAGTATCTCATTCACCTACTCTTTGGGTTGGAGCCAAAAGCTCCAGAAGGAACTAGGGAATTCAAAGAAGGTGATAAATGAGATTGTTAATTAGAAAGTCCTGAGCCTCTGACCCCGACCCCCAGCTTCTTTATTCATGTCTCTGCCCCTCACATGGCCTCCCTGCAAACATACAAAGAGGTGTTGTTTAAAGACCATGGTATCTAACTGATTAAAGGTTAACATGAATACAAGTGTTTTAACCGAAATTGGTTTGGTGTGATTAGTAAAATCTGATGGATGGTTGTACTGTAGATAAGGTAATAGAATGAAAACTGGAAAAAATCTCTGATATGGTTAATGGTTAGGTGGAAGAGGGAGTTTCAGCAGTTGTCAGATAGCAAGAAACATCTGCTGAAATTTCCTCTTTTACACAGCCATCAAAAGCACAGGAATTCTCTCCAGTTTTCACCCCGGTAGTTTTAGCTGTTGAGCTTTCAGAGTATGGTTGCTCTTGATAAACCATTGAACATGTTTTTGGGTTTTCAAATTGCCCCATTTAATGTGTGTCTCATTACTGAAAATGTGAAATAATGTATTTCTTAATCTTGTATTTTATTATTTATAACGGTGTGGTGTTCTGTGTGAGTTTGGACCAGAACTCTGAAAGGCCAGCATTCGAATCTCTGGTCAGGCAGTGAAACCTACTGGGTGGACTTGTGCAAATTACACTTCCTCAGCCTCAGAAAAAGGCATTAACATTTCTCTCTGTACAAATCTTGCTTAAAAAATTCCTGTGACAGGTTCACCTTAGGGCCACCATAAGTGGGAAATGACTTGAAGGCACACAGCCACAAAATTACATATTGTTTTTGTGTGTCAGGAGTGACTTGAGAAACTGAAAGTCGCTTCTGGTGTGAGAGAATTGACTATCTGCAAGGACGTTGCCTCAGGGATGCCTGGATGTTTGATGTTTTATCATCCTTGTGGGAGGCTTCTCTCATGTCCCCACATGGAGAGCTGGAGCTGACAGAGGGAGCTTGACCACTCTCCTCGGATTTGAACCGCTGACCTGTCGGCCAGTGGTCCTGCCAACACAAAGGTTTAACCCCCCATTGCACCACTGGGGGCTCCATAATATTACATAGTACATGACTATTACTACTTTTGCTTCTTTGTCTAAGTTGTGTCTAAAACAGATATCTAACTCTTCCCACCTTAATTACGCTAAGACTTAATATTTTCTTTGTAGCCATTTCTTTCTTAGGGGTTTTACTATTCTAAGCCACCTGTTTTCTTTGCTTCTTGTCAATCCTTTCTGTCTGCTTCCTGTGTTTCTTTGCTTCTCTCCCCTTAAGAGAGTTACTCCATAACTGCTGCCATTCCAGTGTTGTGAGAGCCTGCGAGACTAACCCTGTCTGATGCTTCACGTTCGCAAGCCCCGTAAGTCGCTTGCATTTCTCGCATGCCCTTCAATTGTGATGTGCTGCTTCTTGGACCATCTCATTACGGCGTTTCACCCTTTTAAGTGCCCTAAGAAAATGGTTAATCTTGGGACAGGTAACATGGCACAAAACCTTTTGTTACCCAAATTGTAAATTGTGAATCCTGTTTCCTTCTGGTTTGGTTTATGATGATGAATGTAATTCCCACAAAGACTGTCTTTCTTCTTCTGAACTACATTTCAACTCAAATAATAGCTAGGAATTTCAGAGGAGTGTAACAATTCCTTGTGTATACTTTTGTTCGTGATTCAAACCTGCAGAGATCTATTTCAGACTTCCAGCATTATGCGATCTTTACTTTGACAACCATTATAAACATTTTAGAGTTTGGACCAAAGGCTTAAATGAGGAATCCTAACCCCCTACCAGCTGCTGTGGCTGCAGATGGCCCAAATAGGGGTGAGGCACATTCTCTGGTCCAGGGGACACCCATAAAAAGTTCCAACTGCTGAAGTTGTTCCCTGCAAGGATATGCCCCAGTACATACCCTGTGTATTCAAGGGGGCTGCTCAGAGATGGACATAGATACAGAATTCCTCTTTCCCCCCGAGAAGCCTTGGGCTCAGTCCATTGCCTACAGTAACTTGGAGCTGATATAGGTAACATTTTCCCCACTGAAGCTAATGGGACATGTTCGAGATGGAATATGCACACTGAAAAAGCTTCTTTTTGCCATTCAGCTTCTCCACACAACCACACAGTTTTCATTTTATGTGTTCTGTTTTTTTTCCTGAGTGTCTTCTTCTGGAATTAATATTTGGCTGTTTGAATTTTGAAAACACAGAAGATATTCTTGAAAACCCAGAAGATGCACAATTTATTGCAGAGCTAAGAAATGTTACTTTATCAGATTACTATTTCCAGAATCCTCCATTCTGCATGGTCACTAGCTTTATTTCCAAGGAGCTTTATTTCCAAGGAGCAGCTTTTCAAAATTCTACTTTGAAGCTTGTGCTCTCTGCTCCTTTCATGACCAGCCTGCTTCAGAGTTGCCAAAATGACATTGGCCTCCTGATCTGGATTAGGATTTACTTTGATCTAGTATGTCCTCCAGTCCAGCATTATGCAGATAGTAGACAATGACAATCAAAGGGAATGAAAAGATTAAAGTAGCATTCCTCACCATCTCCAAGCCTACTATTTTCTTTGAATTTTTTTCAAAGCTTTTAAAATTGTTGTTTGACTTAACTACCTATATTTCTTGCCCAAGTCAGCTTTGTATTGTGGCTCACATTAAGTTGGGTTAGTTTCCTAAAGCATGGGTAGGAAACCTGCATCCCAAATGTCATATTGGTCTGTTTTTTGGAACATGCCCTGTTTTGGATTTGATTCCTGCACCAACAGGATTCCTGCACCAATAGCTGAAGTGTAACCTCTAATAGGTTTTGACTGAATTCTGACTGAAAAAAGGTTCTTTTCCCCTCCTTTTAGATTAGCAACAGTTTCAGATTTAGATGTAATAACATTGGTCAACTGAAAACATAAGCCAAGCCTTCTGATCACCTAATGGCTGTACAAGAGAAAGACAGATGGGGAGTGTATTAACTCAAAATACTTGCATGTAATACTGAAATCACACACATGTAATATTTTACTACAGTTTAATGTTGCATTGGACACAGCCATGATGACCAAAATGTGTGTATTATGAATAACTGATAGAGTCAGTATCACCTTCTATAACTGATAGCCTGAAAAAGTGCCATTGAGATTGTTAATTTGTTGTTTGTTTTCTCTGTATTCTTGTAGTTCACACATTCATTGCCTTTTCATGAGTGCAGATCAAAGAGTGATGGCGCATAGCAAGAAATCTTTTTGTGTTTAAGTGGAAAGTGCCGCTTGATCAAAGACAAATAGACAAGAGTTACAGTTATTTTTGTCATAGTTTTACATTTCCAAGAGCAAGCTTGTTTATGAGGTGGTGTTTGCTTTATGAATGGGCACCCATTAGGTTGAGTGATAATGTAGGCTGGCCTGGGCAAATGTAGCTGTGAATATAGACAGTAACATGGCTTTATGTCATACTAAACTGAAGTATGACATGTGTCATACTTTGTTACCTGGTGTGGGTCCAATGTGGACCATGCAACCTGCATCTGTTACTTGTAGGCTGTGTGCAGAGGAAGAGTTGAGATTCGGAAATGCGGAATCTGTGGAAGTTGTGTTGATAATTCCTAAGGTTTTAAAACAAGACCCTGATTACAAAACACAGAGGAACAATCTTTACAAAGAGTAATATCTAGCTAGTTAACCATTGGATCCTAAACAACATTTCTGCACCAGAAGTTCTTCCTCGCCCAGGGCATTCTCTCCCACAGCATAATCTACTGCCTGAAAAATCTCTACCTAGAGACTTAAATTATGAGGTTATACAACTTCTGGAATGATACGTGCATCAACATGAGTGTTAGGCAGATTTTTAATTTGGCATGCTGTGGTACTGGAATGTATTTGGAGGACTGATTAATATTTTGAATGGCTTCAGTATGGAGGCTCAAAACAATGGAAGGATTGCTTATGCATGTGTGGTTGTGTGTGATCTAGCAAAGTGATTGGAAGACCTATATGAGCAAAACTAAGCAGTGGCATTGACTGGCATATTTAACAATGGCTGCAAGTTTCCTTCCTCATAACTTGGGCACTATAGCAAACAAGTGAGTTTTCAGGAAGCTTACAGAAATGTGTAGAAGATAAACTTGTCGATACCCATTAGCTATAAAACTAAAAATAGCTATAATAGTACTATTTTATGAATAGAAATTCAGAAAGGACAACAAATATATTTTTAAAGTCTTGATCTCAACCTGATATCTTTCTCTTTTACATACTACTGGTATCTGGTAGCTAGTGAGAGAAACAGAGTGCTGAAGCAATTTGCCACAAAATATTAGCCTCAAGGCAGCAGTGAAAGGAGGGGGCTCTTGTCTTCATATCCTCCTGGTATGCTTTCCCAAATGCATGTGTTTCACTTCCCTGAGAAAGAAGGAGCCTGCAAAATATGGACTGTTGGTCTCATCCAGCACTGTTTTTCTTGTGTTTTAGCAATATGTATGTTCTCCTACTATAGTACAAGCATTCAGTTTTCTAGTAGGAAACACTATAGTTTTGACAGGCATATTCTTAAAGCATTATGTTCTTCCTTCACATCTGTACTGACCAGAAGCACTGTGTATGGAAAAGTGCGTGAAAGTCTGTTCTCTCACTATGCAGATATGCAATAAACAATCAGGCCCCATTTTGGTCCTGCCTGCTTTATACCAAGAACTGCTACTTGAAGATAATGAAATTGAGCTCCCCTCCGGTAGCACTTCCTGGTGTGCTTTATTATACGCTCCATAATAATAATAATAATAATAATAATAATAATAATAATATTGTTTCCCCAATGTCCATGTTTCAACCAGTTCAGAACCTCTCAAGCTGGTGTGTGCATGATTTGTGGTAAGACTGTATTTCCCTCTTGATCTCAACTCTAATCATACTCTGTAATTGATTTTTTTTGTTCAACTCTAAGAAGCACAAGTCTAAATGTTCTGTAGAAAGAGATTCTGGGATTTGGAAGTCCAAAATATTTGGAGGATGACGGGCTGAGAACCCTGCTCTAACTCAGTCATCAATTCTTGGGTTTTGTGTGTGTGTGTGGAGCGACTTGAGAAACTGCAAGTTGCTTCTGGTGTGAGATAATACGCCATCTGCAAGGATGTTGCCTAGGGGACACCTGGATGTTTTACCATCCTGTGGGAGGCTTCTCTCATGTCCCCACATGGGGATACTGGAACTGACAGATGGGAGCTCACCCTGCTCCCTGGATTTGAACTGCCGACCTTTTGATCAGCAGTCCTGTCATCATAAGGGTTTAATCAATTGTGCCACTTGGGAGCTCAATACATTTTTATTCATCTCCAGCTGTTTTGAGCAATAAAAGTGTATGCTTAAGCAGAAGAGGCCCTTGCCTTCAATCAAAATGCTGCTTTCTGTGTAATGCCGAGTTGTGCAGCTACCTCCTAGTAAGATCATCCTTGTGCCAAAATTAACTTGGTCTACTCAGTCCTAACCAGGTTAGAATGTGCTTGATTTGGACCTGAAGTCAGTTCCATTTTCCTCTAGTAGCTCCACTCTCCTAATTTCCGCCTTGCTCCAGCTATTTGCGTATTTCACAGCTGATTTTGTCTTTGCAGGATTCTGGAGCAGCATCTGATGTTTCTTTTTCTGTCATTGCAGATATATTTGCCTAAGTATAAAAGCAAAGAAGAAGATGCAGCTCAACTAGACAAGAAGCACGGCTTCCTCAAAAGCCATATTTCTGGTCAGAAACTGACATACCAAAATGGACACAATGGAAGCCTCTTCTCCGCCCCTGGTGCTGGCTCTTCCCTCTGCGTCGGCTCTCCCTGTGAAGTCCCTCTCATGATGATGGTGGGAGATGCAGACACTGCAGCTGCAAGCCGAGGCATATGTTCAGACCTGGCCATCTTGGACAGTGCATTTCTCCTTTCCCAGGTCATCCCATCCCTCCTCATGGGTTCACTTGTTCAATTCACTCAGTCAGTCACTGCTTATATGGCATCTGCTACTGGTTTTGGCTTGGTGGCCATTTACTTTGCAACCAAAGTTACCTTTGACAAAAGTGACATGGCCAAGTATTCACTGTAGGAAGGGAAAGGATATGACTCAAATTCCAACTTGAAAAAGGGTCGTGGAGAAGAGTCAGTTTGTATACAGGTTGTGTCTTCTTTCTTCCCAGGTTGCATTGTTAAGGGACATATGCAGAAATCCTGGCTGAAGGATAAGAAAACAAAAGAAAAATACTGGGCTAATCTCAGGGTATCTAATGAAAGGGAGTATAGTATCACATTGCCTGTTTCTTCGTAATGCCTACACCAAAGTGCTTTGGCATTGAAGCCTATAGAAAGAGGATTCCAGGTTTAAAAAGTAAAGGGAGAACATTTGCATAACTGCTATTAGAGATGGGAACATTTACTCCTGTGGACTACTGTTGCCAAGAATGATGGGGCTGTTATTCAGAAAGCTAACTTTCCTAAACTCTGACTACTATGTCAAATTGTGTGGGAGGTACTGGCACAGAAGGGGCCAAAGATTATTCAAAGTTCTTGTTCACCTCACTTTTTTATTGTAAATTTTAAAGCACTGCTGTTGGTTGGTTTCCAGATTGTCTTATAGGTAAAGACACTATTGTAATGTAAGTCTCCTTGTCTTGGCATGAACCAGAAAATACATGAAAAGAGGACTATAAGTTGGCACATCTAAAAGGAGAGGTAGAAATAATTCACTCCCTTTACCGAGGTGTCTTGTAAGTCAAGACTGAGGTGATATAAACAAACTGAACAGTATCACATAGGACTGGGAGGGGGACTTGTTTAGGTGTGGATACTTTGGTTGAACTAGCAGCAACTGAGCAGTGGCCTGACGGAAATTAAAAACTTGGTCATCATCTGATCCTCCCCCGCACCTCTGTTCTAAACTGAGCTTGCAGTGAGTGCAAACAGAGAAGTTCGCATAAACATCAGCCAAAGAACACACCCTTTTGGAAGGCTTGGTTTTAGTGACTGACTGGCACAAACAAACCACAGTGCCTTTCACTGTGTGCAGTCCTGAAAAGGAGGCATAGTGTGCCAGAGTGGTAAAAGTTCTCTCATACATGCTGCCTTTCCTACTAAGGACGCATCCTACAGCCTGCTAGTACTAAAGGGCTCTATAGAAAAACCGACCATGTTTCTTAATACCACAAAACAGGCACCAAGCTGAATTTTTCCAGTGTGTGATTTAGCCATTCTGCCACCCAGATTGAATGGAGGCACTCCCTCCATCAGGCAAATTTTGCAGAACAAATAGCTCTCTTTGAACTCTGTAATTTTTTCCTGCATTTTTTAAAAACAACAAATCAGGTTTGAGCAAGTAATATATGTGGCTCGCAACTATTCATGCAGCACTAGGCAGTGCAGCTGTTTCTAACCAGGAGTAGAACAACTCTTAGTAAGGGAAAATCAGGGTACATGGAATATTTGGGTTAGAAGGGCACTTGAAGGTGAAACCCAACCCATGGCTACTGAGGCAATAAAATGTAACAGCCTAGAAAAGTTAGTTTTTTGATCTATAATTCCAAGAAATACACAGGCACATTAATCATATTAATTTGGTTAATGGCACATCTAATGTGGCCCTCACACCTATTATCAGTGTTGAATTCCAACCTTTTGCCCTTTTGAGTGATGAAGTAATTATATAGGTAACCATTCAGTAGACTTGTAGGTGGTGATAGCTTGTGGACTGAATGGGCTGGGTGCTCTCCCAAGTTCATTCTCATCCATGGTTTGATCCACAAGGACTCTGTAGTGACAGGAAAACCACTTAGTCAGCCACCTCTGTCAATAAAGTTCCAGAGTAGGGACCCCTTCACACCACACACACTATGGTTCCACTTCATTGCCATGGTTTCATTTTGGGATTTGCGGTTTAGAGACAGGTGTTTAGAATTCTTTACCCCAGAGCTGTAGTGCCTCATCAAATCACAAACCCCAGGATTCTATAAGATTCTGTAAGATGTTGCCATGGCAGTTAAAGTGGAATCACAATGCTATAATTAACCACCTTGAATCTTGTGCAAAGAGGAAGGTGGCATATATATATTATTTCTGTGACTCAAAAATCTCCCAGCATTCCTGTACCCAGCATTTGCCATATAAAACTATTGTTTCCCTTTTCCTAATTGGTAAAGGATTTGAATGAAGGCAAACTTTTCTGAGGCTGAATGTGAAAAACAGTTAAAGCTTTGTCAAATATGATTGTTTCCTACCAAATCATCTTAAGGAATTACTGGTTAATCTTTTTTTGCCACATATTCATGGTAGTTGACTGTACAAGGGCCATCTTTGAATGTTTCAAGAAGGTGAGCCAGGGATCCAGCATCGAATGTGGAAGGAGAACAGCCTTAACCACTGTAAAAGATCTTACTGTGGTAGTCTTTCCAATTTTGTGGGTGGCTGGGTAGAGTCTGCTACTCTGGAAGTAAAGTTACAAGTTAAAGTTAAATAGGAGCAAAAAGACTTGGGAGCTCTCCCAACTGAGGCCCCTTACACAGAGCTGTATACAATCTCACATTATCTGCTTTGAACTGGGTTATATAGCTGTGTGGACTCAGATAACCCAGTTCAAAGCAGATATTTTGGGTTATGTGGCTGTGTGGAAGCGCCCCAAGGGACTTGTTCGAAACTATGAGAGAGCCACAAAATCTCCCAACAATCTCAGAACTCAAACAGGAGAGGGAATAAAGTACAGGATATTAAAAATATAGAAGCAAAATGAGAAGTACATTATCATAATCCAGTTTTTCTCAATTTGGTGTCGTCCAAAGATTTGAGACTAATTTCCATCACCCTGAGGAATGACCATGCTGATGAAGGCTGATGGCAGCTAGAGTCCAACATATACTTCTGTCACTTTGAAACCAGTGGTGTGGAATTCAACTGTCCTTTGTGCCCTATTGACAAGTTTGCTTTCCTTTTTTTACATCCTAGACATCAGCCAAGGCAAGAAGATGACCACACTATAGTTTACTGTGCTTCGAGTTGTAGCCCCAAAGATCTAAAAAACATCTAAAAGAATTGTTTTGTTATTTTGAACAAGTGTTTCAGATAGAGGGATGAGAAGAAAGCCTTTGCCCTCTTTGGATCACAAGTATCTTTGGTCTGGTCTTTGGAGTGGAGAATGAGGAAAATTATGATGTGAAATCCCAATGATTACCCAACTTGTCCTGCTTTCAGGTTTTTTCACTTTTTTGTTTCATGAGGCCAATGACATGGGCATTGCAAAAAGAATGTTAAATGTATCTTTGCCATTGTTTTTGTTTAATAAGGGGTGACTGAGGGCTGATTTGTGAGCCATTCCAGTTGCTGCTTGTAACTCTGTCCCACAGTGCAGTGTTCTTTCCAGTTTTGCTCACATTCTTTAGCACTTAGCCTGTTCTAGTTGTCAGAAATAGTTGAGATGGGCCAGTGAAGACTCCATCCCAACCAAGTATTCAGCCACTGGATAATGGATCAACCCACTTCAACTGTTGCTGTATATTTAACATCACCTCAGTTACAATGGCATTCCCTTTAACAAGTTTTTCTTTCAAGTGTTTTCTGTCAAGCAATGGATTTTTCCTCCATTACTGATGTCCACCTGCTTTCCCCCCACATAGCTTTATTTAAAGGGAAGTTACTGAAAATGTTTAGGCCAGTGATTGGATTGGTGCCTTTACTTCCAAACAAGAGATTTCTTTGAACTGTATTTGTTTGAAAAGGGAACACGTCTCCCTCGCTGTGTCTTGCTATCTGCAATTTGTGTGTTTATTTATTTACGGAAGTAAATATTTTGTATAGTTTATGTTCAGGGGATATTAAAGTCTATTAAGGAGTGGTAATTTTAAGAATGGTGTGTTTATAATTTAATGACCCAATGAGAACTTTCTTTGGACTTGGAACTGGATGCTGAATGAATCTTATTTTTTGTCCCAAACTGAAAAAAAATTAATAAAAACTGAAGACAATAGACGGAATTCACATGACTGCAGGTATAATTAATTACTGCTTTCATCTCATGCTTTATTGGAACAGCTGTTTCAAACATGCCGATTAATCAAGGTATTACAATAAGACATTGCTTATGAAGATGGGATTAAAAGCTGAGAATTACAGTGCTCCAGAAGACAAAGCAGCTGCTGGTTAAGAACAGGAATTTGAAGTACTGTATTACAATGAACTGATGGCAGCTTATTGCAAAACACCAAAATAATACATTCTTTGAAAACACAGACAATTGCAAGAAGAAAATCCTTCTAAAGAATGGAGAAATTACAAATACCCAATTGGTCAATGTACTCACTGTGTTGTCTTTAATTTTGCACTTCATTAGGAAGGCAGATACACACTTCACACTGAGAGAGACATCATACCCAAATTGACAGAGAGGGATATTGACTCTCCATTTCTTACGCTCTCTTATTCTTTCTTGAAAGGTATCAGCAGGTCTCGGCAGCTCTTAGGCAGGATTCTTATGTCTTAAGAGTTGTATAATGGCAAACGTTAGCAGTTTCAATGGGGCCGTGATGGCGCAGCACGTTAAACCACTGAGATGCTGAACTTATTGACCGGAAGGTCAGTGGTTCGAATCCACGAGACAGGTGATCTCCTGTCATTAGCCCCAGCTTCTGCCAACCTAGCAGTTTGAAAACATGCAAATGTGAGTAGATAAATAGCTCCAGCAGGAATGTAAGGGCACTCCATGCAGTCATGCTGGCCACATGACCTAGGAGGTGTCTATGCACAATGCTGGCTCCTCAGCTTAGAAATGGAGATGAGCACCACCCTCCCAGAGTCAGAATCGACTAGACTTAATGTCGAGGGGAAACCTTTACCTCAAGCCGTAGGAGCCCCTGGTAGTGCAATGGGTTAAACCCTTGTGCTGGCAGGTCTGCTGAGTGAAAGCTTGGCAGTTCAACTCTAGGGTGTGGGGTGAGCTCCCATTTGTCAGCTCCAGCTTCCCATGTGGGGACATGAGAGAAGCCTCCCACAGGATGATAAAACATCTGGGTGTCCCCTGGGCAACGTCTTTGTAGACAGCCAATTATGTCACACAAGAAGTGACTTGCAGCTTCTCAAGTCACTCCTGACATAAAAAAAAAACCTTTAGCAGTTTGTTTGTTTGTTTGTTTATATACAGTATTTATATACCACTTTTCTCACCCCTGGGAGGACTCTATCACTGAATACTCAGAGAGATAAAGGCAGATAAAATAGAAGATTCCACTTTTAAGCAAAAAAAATGAGACACTGAACTGTTGAAAATTGAATAGTCATGTGTGAAGAACATTGCAATTCAGGGGGGAAAGGTCAACTGGAGGCCTTTCATGCCATACAATTGCAGTTCGCATGTTTTTTCTGAAATGTCAAAATATTTCAAAATCTGAAAATGTGTTAAATCAGTGGCTGAAACAGTGACACCTTTTATTTCTGATGATTCAAAATTATTTTAAAATGTTGTATAAAATGATCTTCAGATTAGATGCATAAGGTATACATGAAACATAAATGAATTTCATGTTTAGACTTGGGTCCCATCATATACATATGTGCAAATATAGGTATTCCAAGATTGGGGGATAGGATGGGACAGGACCCTGAATACAAAACATTTCTGGTCAGACATATTTGGGATAAGGGATACTCAGCCCGTTCTGCGATTCCATTTTTGGTCCTACAAAATTCTGGCATGCCATGATGAATGATGCTGATGGAGATGAGCATTCATGCTGGCACTGCTGCATCAATTTACTTTAACCCCAGTCAATAAATTCATTGTTGAGGAACAAAATTACATTTGAGTGATATCTCGAGTGTCATGCTATTGAAGAAATTAAAGGTTGTAATTATGTAGATCTAATTTGAGGAAAAATGTGGAAACAGCTTATTTATTTATTTATTTATTTATTTATTTGCAGCATTCATATCCCATCCTTCTCAATCCCACAGGGGACTCAGGGTGGCTTACACAAAAAAAGGCACAATTTGATGCCACTTTAACATACATAAGATAAAACAAAACATGTACATTAAAATCAGTAGTTAAAACACATAATCTTAAAAAAGTTACATTAAAAACCACGCAGCCCAAAGGCATATTCCAGGAGCCTCTCCATAAATTGCACTATTCCTTAGTCACTTATTACATTGCAGATCACTTGCAGATTACTGTTCAAAGGCTTGGTCCCACAACCATGGCTTCACTTTCTTTCTGAAGGACAGGATGGAGGGAGCTGATCTAATTTCACTGGGGAGGGTTCCACAGCTGTGAAGCCACCACTGGGAAGGTCCTATCTCTCATCCCTAGCAGTCATGTCTGCAAAGCTGGTGGTACCGAGAGCAGGGCCTCCTCCAAATATCTTAACCTCAGAGATGGTTCATAGAGGGAGATATGCTCGGACAGGTAAGCTGGATTGGAACCATTTAGGGCAGTGGTTCTCAACCTGTGGGTCCCCAGGTGTTTTGGCTTTCAACTCACAGAAATCCCAGCCAGTTTACAAGCTGTTAGGATTTCTGGAAGTTGAAAGCCAAAACAGCTGGGGACCCACATGTTAAGAACCACTGGCTTGGGCTTTATAGGTTAATGCCAGCCTTTTGAATTGTGCTTGGTAGCAGACTGGTAGCTAATAGAGCTGGCGCATCAGGGGGGGTTGTGTGCTCCCTGAATGCTGGCCCAGAGGAGTCTGGCTGCTGCTTATTGGAGCTTCCAAACATCTTCAAAGGCAACACCACATAGAGCACATTGCAATAGTCTATTCTTGATGTCACAAGAGCGTGGACCACTGTGGCCAAGTCTGACTTCCTAAGGTAAGGGTTTTAATTGTGCAAAAGCTCCCCTGGCTACTGCCAATACCTGGGGTTCCAGGCTCAGCAACGAATCCAGGAGGACTTCCAAGCTGTGGACCTGTGTCTTCAAAGGGAGTGTAACCCCATCCAGCACAGGCTGCAACCCTATACTCTGTTTGGCCTTATGACTGACCAGGAGAGCCTCTGGATTCAGTTTCAATTTGTTCTCTCTCATCCAGATTGTCACAGCTGCCAAGCACCGGTTTAGAACCTGAACAACTTTGTAATCAGGAAAAAAAAGTCAGGTTAAAGTGCTAGCCTTTGACTTGGCATAAATTGTATAGCAAATAATACTTTTTAGATGTTTTAGGTGATTCCATCAGCATTGCCTGTGAAAGATCCTGCAAATCTCTTGGGAAGACAGGCGGACAAATGTCAGCGTGCTGGAAGAAGCAAAGACCACCAGCATTGAAGCAATGTTCCTCGGCCATCAACTCTGCTGGACTGGCCACGTTGTCAGAATGCCCAATCACCATCTCCCAAAGCAGCTACTCCGAACTCAAAAACAGGAAACGGAATGTTGGTGGACAGGAAAAGAGATTCAGAAATGGACTCAAAGCCAACCTTTAAAACTCTGGCATAGACACTGAGAACTGGAAAGCCCTGGCCCTTGAGCACTCTAGCTGGAGGTCAGCTGTGACCAGCAGTGCTGTAGAATTTGAAGACGCATGAATGGAGGGCGAAAGAGAGAAACATGCCAAGAAGAAGGCACCTCAAGCCAACCCTGACCGGGACGGCCTTCCACCTGTAAACCAATGCTCTCACTGTGGGAGAACATGCAGGTCAAGAATAGGGCTCCACAGCCACCTACATATCTACCTGACACCAACTGCTGCTCTGGCTAGAGTGAAGAGAAAGGGGGACAGAAGACAGTTCCATCTTGTCTCCTGCCTATAGCATCAGTTGGGATCCCCCCCCCCCCCCCCCCCCCCCCCCCCCCGGCACCAACTGCTGCTCTAGCCAGAGTGAAGAGAGGGGTGTGTGTCAAGGAACAGTTCCATCTTGTCTCCTGTGCTTTACTAATAATATAATATAATAATATATTGTAGATACATATAATATTTATAATATTATAATGTAATACAATATAATAATGCAATATTATAATTATATATTTTATATTACATGTAATATTACTAATAAAATTACAATATAACGGTATTGTACAATATAGTAATTTATAATACTGAAATTGTACTATGCTAATAATATAATATATTGTATGTGTATATATCTTGTAAGCCACTCTGAGTCCCCTTCAGGGTGAGAAGGGCAGCATATAAATTTCGTAAATTAATTATTATTATTATTATTATTATAACTTTATTTGTACCCCGCTAGCATCTCCCGAAGGATTTGATGCGGCTTACAACAGGCCGAAGCCCACACAATACAACAATACAATACATAGCAAATAAAACAGTTAAGCAGAAAACAAATACAGTAGCAATACAACAAGACATTATTAAAAACTGAGCCGGCCGGAGTAGGGGTACAGGATTAAAAGTGCTGATGTGTCGGAGGGATATGGGATTATAGTATAAGTGCGGTGTGCAGTGTGCGGTGGTCTTGGAACTGACTAAAGTGCTTCTGGGATTTGGAACTGGGGTTTCTAGTCTGAGAAGGCACATTTGAACAGCCAGGTTTTCAGGTTCTTTCTGAAAACTGCCAGTGTAGGGGCTTGTCTGAGGTCTTTCGGGAGGGCGTTCCAGAGGCGGGGGGCCACCACGGAGATGGCCCTGTCCCGTGTCCCCACCAAACGCGCTTGTGACGTGGGCGGGATCACGAGCAGGGCCTCCCCAGATGACCGGAGTGAGCGTGTGGGTTCGTAGACAACGATGCGGTCACGCAGGTAGGGTGGTCCCAAACTGTTCAGGGCTTTGTAGGTAAGCACCTGCACCTTAAATTGGGCTCGGAAGATAAACGGCAGCCAGTGGAGCTCTTTAAACAGGAGGGTTGACCTCTCTCTGTAATGGGCCCCAGTTAACATTCTGTGACTGATCTAGGTAATTGATGTCATCTAGGAAACCCTGGAGCTGAAGGGCGACCACCCGCTCCAAATAAATAAATAAATACCGGCAAGACACATCACTTGGAGGACCACCATCCTCAGACTACAAGGAATCGTCTAAGTAAGTAAGTAAAGTAATACTTTTTAGGGATGAAGGTCAGCAGTTACATTTTTCTATCCTCCCTACACTAGAAGAATTGCTGAAACTATATCACTGGAGCACTGGACAGGGATCTGTCTAATGCTGTGGCATTGCCTTTTGAAAGTTGCTTGTAAGTCTCAAGAGTCCCTTTTCAATGCGTTTTACATTTTCCCCGGTAGGTGGTGCTGTAGACATCCTGAGCACAGCAGCACTATGATTAAATTTCCTTTTCTGTTCATTTTTAGCTAGCCAGTAGCTTGCTTTTGGTGCTGAAAGGCTGTGGAAGGTTGCTTCACACAGCTCAGAACTCTCCATATCAGCTACAAGTATATGCAGAATCCACAAGTAATGATACTTTTTTGGGACCAGTTCCAAAATATGAGATATTCTACTGGTATGTGAACTTTTGAAACTTTACTGGCTTCTTCTTCAAGCAATTGTGTTAAAAGTCATACAATAGCAGGGAAGCCTTGCAAAAAAGCATGCATATTATAAGTTGAATATTTACAGTCATTGTGCCTGTTGACCAGTGTATGGCTGTTAGGGAAATCAGAGGATGGGCCTAGCTAGCACCTGCTGCTGGCACTCTTGAGCAGCTGACAGCAGAGCCTGGAAAGTCTGATGACAATGAATAAACATAACAACTTGCTGTTGCTACCCATAAGTGGCCAGTAGCTGAATGTTGCTCTAGATCCCAGAATGTCATCTAGCTGCTGTTTTGTTGTGGATGGCTTCACTGGCTGAGATCTTACATTTGGAGGCATGTATTGGTTACGTCGAGTTGCAATGTTACAGAACATGATACACTATGGAATGCTTAGTTGTTTACACAACTGAAATGCACAATTTGAATGCCCATCTACATGAATAACAGCACTGAACTCAACCGAATCCTTAACCTTGACCTGAATGTAGATGTACGCCTCAGATAAAACCATCCAACTGCTTCTATAAAAGCCCTTAATGCATGTCTAAGGGCCCTTCCACAAAGCTATATAACCCAGAATATCAAGACAGAAAATCCCACAATATCTGCTTTGAACAGCATTAAGATCACTACTGCCCAAAAGGTTATGAGTTGGAAGCCAGCCCAGGTCAGAGTGACCTTCTGACCAATTTGTGTAGCTTGCTGTTGACCTTAGCAGCCCGAAAGACAGTTGCATCTGTCAAGTAGGAAATTTAGGTACTGCTTATGCGGGGAGGCTAATTTATGACGCCATAAAAATCTCCAGCAAGCATGCAAAGAATGAGGAAGTACTTCATCAGTGTCACAAATGGATGGTGAAGCGACAGTTCCCCTGGTGGCCAGAATACCCTAATGAAAAAGCTAGAATGTTAAATAGCCTCTGTGTATCTGTCTATATGTTTTGTGACTATGGCATTGAATGTTTGCCATGTATATATACACTGTAATCCGCCCTGAGTCCCCTGCAGGGCGAGAAGGGCGGAATATAAATACTGTAAATAAATAAATAAATAAATAATAAACTGGAATATATGGCAGTGTGAACTCAGATAACCCAGCCCAGGGATTTTCTGCCTTGATATTCTGGGTGATATGGCTGTGTGGAAGGGCCCTTAGATATCAACAGAGATCCTATTCTTATGTTTAAGGGTAACTTTCCATCTCTGATGGATAAAATTCTGCTAATGCAGGTGCATTAATTTGCCCTTTCCTGCTTCACATCAAAATAGTAATTCAATGTTTTAAAAACCGTGATTATACCATTTCTCAATTTTCATGGTGTTTTTGAATAAAGCTACACTAGGGAGCCTCCGGTGGCGCAGAGGGTCAAACCACTGCACTGCTGAACTTGCTGACTGAAAGGCTGGAAGTTCAAATCCATGGAGCGAGGTGAGCTCTCACTGTTAGCCCCAGCTTCTGCCAACCTAGCAGTTCGAAAACATGCAAATGTGAGTAGATCAACAGGTAATGCTCCAGCGGGAAGGTAACTGCACTCCATGCAGTCATACTGATCACATGACCTAGGAGGCATCTATGGACAATGCTAGCTCTTTGGCTAAGCAATGGAAATTAGCTCTATCCCAAAGAGTTGGGCACGACTAGACTTAATGTCAAGGGGAAACCTTTAGCTTTTACAAGGGAATTAGCAAGACTTCCTGACTCTACAAGCTGTTCAGCAGTGGAACTCTCTGCCCTGGAGTGTGGTGGAAGCTCCTTACTTGGAGTATTTTAAGCAGAGGCTAGATGGCCATCTGTCAGGGATACTTTGTGCTTTTCCTGCATGGCAGGGGACTGGATTAGATGGCCTGTGTGGTCCCATCCATCTATGATTCTAGTGGAGCTATCCAAGGTGCCAATAACTGAAGACCCATCTCTTCTGGCAGGCTTAACCGGTCCATTTTAAGTTCTGAGAATTTTAAGTTTAAGTTAACTCTGTATCTTTTTTTCCCCTGCCATGAGAACCTTGAGAGCCTTCAATAACACAATTAATTAATTATTATTATTACTACTACTACTATTATTAATTTGAGCCTAATATTCAGTACTTTGGAGGGCTCTGACAAATCCTAAGGTTGAAAGGTGGATGCACCACTTCCTGTCTTTTGTATGGATGCTCCATAGGGAGCACTTTTCCAATTGGAGGAAACTAGGTAAGTGGGGTTTATATATCTGTAGCATGTTCAGGGTAGGAGAAAGAACTCTTGCCTGTTTGATGCAAGTGTGAATGTTGCAATTGGCCTTGCAGCTTCAAAGCCTGGCTGCTTCCCACCTGCCTGGGGGAAATCCATTGTACCCAGGAGCAGAGCTGTCCCTTGGGCTCATTACTATAGTTTTACAAAATGAAACTGTCATGAAACTTCCATATCTCAATGCTCTGAACTCACAAGAGTTTAACAATCTGTTGTTTTGGGGCACTGTGCATGTGCCATTGTAAGCCGCCTTGAAAGGCGGAGTATAAATATGGCAAATAGACTACTGCAACACACTCTACGTGGGGCTGCCTCTGAAGACTGCCCAGAAGCTTCAGTTAGTCCATTGATCAGCAGCCAGGTTGGTCACCAGAGCGGCATACAGGAAGCTCACAACCCCTCTGTTACGCCAGCTCCACTGGCTACCGGTCTGCTTCTGAGCACAATTCAAAGTGCTGGTTTTAATCTTTAACGCCCTAAACCAGTGGTTCTCAACCTGGGGTCCCCAGAAGTTTTTAGACCTACAATTCCCAGAAATCTCAGCCATTTTACCAGCTGTTAGGATTTCTGGGAGTTGAAGGCCAAAAACATCTGGGGACCCCAGGTTGAGAACCACTGCACTAAATGGATCTGGGCCAGTTTACCTGTCCGATCATATCTCCTGTTATGAACCATCATGAAGTCTAAGATCATCTGGAGAGGCCCTGCTCTCGATCCCACCAGCAGTGGGATTGGCAAACGCGATTGGTGGGGACAAGGGACAAGGCCTTCTCAGCAGTGGCCCCCCATCTGTGGAATTCCTTCCCCAGGGACATCAGACTGGCCACCTCCCTCCTGTCTTTTAGAAGGAAACTCAAGACTTGGTTGTGGGACCAAGTGTTCAACCAGTGAACAGCAGCAATGTGTGAAGTTTTAAGCAGCTCGTGAAAATGAATTGACCTGGACCTGGATTTGGATTTGAATTGGCATGTTTTAATCGATTGTTTTAATTTACTGTTTTAATTAACTGTTTTTAATGAATTGTTCTAATCGATTGTTTAATGTTTTAATTGCATTGTTGAATGTTTATAATTTTGATAGCACCGGATGGTGCTTGCTGTGAGGCCGCTGAGTCCCCCCTCAGGGGTGAGAAGGACGGGTTACAAATGCAGGAAATAAATAAATAAATAAATACATGGTCTTTAGGCATCACTGGCAAAGAGTCCATCACCTGACCAAATCCAATGATTCCATAACATTGAGCCATGGCAGTTCAAGTGATGTCTCTTGTTGTTTATTTGTTCAGTGGCTTCCGACTCTTCGTGACCTCATGGACCAGCTCACGCCAGAGCTCCCTGTCAGCCGTCACCACCCCCAGCTCCTTCAGAGTCAAACCAGTCACTTCAAGGATCCCATCCATCCATCTTGCCTTGGTCGGCCCCCCTTCCTTTTTCCTTCCATTTTCCCCAGCATCATTGTCTTCTCCAAGCTTTCCAGTCTTCTCATGATGTGGCCAAAGTACTTCATCTTGGCCTCTACTATCATTCCCTCCAATGAGTAGCTGGGCAGTATGGACTGGTTGGATATTCTTGTGGTCCAAGGCACTCTCAGAATTTTCCTCTAACACCACAGTTCAAAAGGACCCTGGAGCATCTACACTGTAGACTTGATGCAGTTTAAATCTTCCTTCGCTTAGCCATCCTTATGGTCCAGCTCTCACAAAGTGGTGTCAAACTGCATCAAGTCTACAGTGTAGACGCCCCACAGTCCTTTCGCTTAGACAGGGAGTCTCTCCACGTATCCGAAAGAGGCTGGGGGGGGGGGGCCCTTCATCCCCAGGCATTTTTCTCTGTGGGCGCCACGTGGTTCTTGGAGGAGAGGAGGAGGAAGAGGAGGAGGAGGAGGAGGAGGAGGAAGGGCCAGGCGAGCCCCCGCGATGGGCGGCCCAATAGAGGAGCCAGGAAAGAGCCAAGCCTTCTGAGTGGGCGGGGCGCCCCAAACTCCGGTTGGCACCTTCCCCTTGCATCATGTGAGAGAGAGAGAGAGAAAGAGAGAGGAGAGAGTGCGTCCTTAGTCGCCAGCTGGGACAACATGGTAAGGGGCTACGAGGGAGGAGGAGGAGGAGGAGGAGGAGGAGGAAGAGGAAGAAAGAAGGGAGGAGGAAGAAGAGGAGGAGGAGGGGTTTGGTGAAAAGAGTTTTCCCTTTCCAAACGTGGCAAGTATGGGTGCATCCTCCTCACTGCACTGTGGAATTAATGCAGTTTCACACCGCTTTAACTGGCATAGTTCAATGCTTTGGAATTATAGGATTTGCAGCTTTCTGAGATACTTACTTTTCTTACGCTCTGGGGTGCATCTATGCCAGGCATGGGCAAGCTTGGGCCCTCCAGGTGTTTTGGACTCCAACTCCCACAATTCCTAACAGCCGGTAGGCTGTTAGGAATTGTGGGAGTTGCAGTCCAAAACACCTGGAGGGCCCAAGCTTGCCCATGCCTGAGCTGTACTGTAGAATGAATGCAGTTCGGCACCACCGAACACTACAACTCCCACAATTCCATAGACTTGAGCCATGACAGTTCAAAGTGGTGTCAAACTGCATTCATTCTGTAGTGAAGATGCGTCCTAAGAGCTTGCCAAGGTGCAGAATGAATGCCGTTTAACCCTGCTTTAACTGCCATGGATGAATGCTAGGGAATCATGGGATTTGTAGTGTGGCGAGGCACCAGAAGGATAGGCAAAACAACTTACAAAACTGCAACTTATATGACTCAACAGCATTTACTTATGAGGTGAAACTGCATTGATTGTACAGTGCAGGTGCACCCTGAGTCTATCCATCTGGAAGGTGGTCTTCCTCTTCTCCTGCTCTCCTCCAGCCTACCAACCATTATCATCTTTTCTAATGAGAGGTCTCTTCTCACGATTACATGCCAGACCCACTGAACTTTTACTGCCATGGGTTGCTGTAAGTTCTTCAAGCTGTACAGCCATGTTCCAGAAGCATTCTCTCCTGACGTTTCACCTGCATCTATGGCAGGCATCCTCAGAGGTTGTGAGGTCTGATTCCGTGCTGTGAAATCCTGGGATTTGTTGTGCTCTTTGGCAGAGTAGGTAAAGACCTTGTCAAACTCCAACTCCCAGGATCCCATAGCATTGAGTGGGATCCAAATGCATTCATTCTACAATGTAGTAGATGGACCTATTTCTCATGTGCCTGTCGGGGCATCCTGGCTCTGTTTTTCCAACCTGACATTTCAACCAGGAAAGGGTTAATGCAGAACAAAATAATCAGGGTTTGAGGTGGAGGAATCCAGCCAAACAGGCTAAACTGCCTGGGCCAGGGACTGTTTGGTTAGAAGGCGGGATTCCATTATGGGTAAGATACTGATATTGGTAGTTTGATAGTAAAGGAGGTGTGCTAAATGGCAGCCAAAGAAGCTGACATTTTGCACATATTATTTTCAGTAGGCTCATCTTAGGACTGCTCAGAGTTCTGTAATGCAATTTAGAAGTGGATTAAAAGGAATCGGATTTGCTTTGCAACAGCTATACAAACATCCCAGAAACTAGTTCGAGGATAGGCATTGGCCACAGTATCCACTGATTGTGGGTCAGAACCAAACCCAGGAACCACAGTATCTGCAATGGAGTTTTTTCTTATCCAGTCCAGTGAGATGTGCTGATGCAAATGGACCATGTCAGTTCAGGATCAGCGTTGGACCATGGCAGAGAACAGGAAGTGAGAGCAAAAGGGTGGCAAGCAAGGGTTCCCAAGGGAATGGTGTGGTTTCCCACTTGGGAGATAAATTGTTTACCTTCTGGCCAGTTGTGTTTTGGTCTTTTAAAAGAGCTTCATCATGAGGAGTGCCCAGAAAAGTAGGGATTCCCTGTCATTAACAGTTTTGTATGTCTATGTGAAGTCCAGGAATGTATCCACTGTGTTTCTGTGGGTCATACTGTATATCCCTATGACTTTCCCCCTTTGCCTGGGATTTAAAAATACAACTAAACATGCATTATTAAACTACACAGTAATTCAATTGAACTCAGGTTAAACACACAGTTGTCAGAGAAGTGTGACACCTGCACAAACACTTAAAAAGCCACAGCCAGTCAGTCACCAGACATCTCCCCCAATGACAAGGCCTTTGTCTCCTGGCAGGTTGACAAAAAGGAGAGCAAACCTAATTGGCCTTGGAAGCGAGAGCCACAGTCTGGAAGAGACGTCCACAGTTCTCCTACAGAGGTGGCTAGGCATGTTTATCCAAATCCATATTCAGTTGGAGGTTGTGAAAACAGAGTTGTGTATGCAATGCTATTATTCATGTTGTGCCATATCATGCAGGTATGACTTGCACATTGCGATCATGCATTGGCTATTTATTTGCATGTTTAGTTGCGCAGTACTATATTTCACGAATGCGTAGTCTTTATGTAGCTCCGTCAAGAGTAAAGTTGCAGTGATGTAGGAGCTCAGTCAGTTGGTGCTTCTCAGTGTCAGAGCACTGTTCCTGTTGTCTTGAAGGAGGTGATGATGAGCAACCTAAAAAACCCTGAAATCACTCTTGATCCAATGGTTAAGAACAATTATTTCTTGATGACAATTCCTCTAATTTTGAGTAAGGCTCCTCAAATTTAAGTAACATTAGAAGAAATTTACTATTTAGACCTCTTTGGTTTTAGGCTGGATTTAGGACTAGAAACAGCTCTGATCATCTAGTGGACAACTATTACTGAGGAATGTATGCAGGGAGTGCCATGCTAAAAGTTTCCCTGGATCAGCTGACTATTGATCATGCTGACCATGGTACCTTCTGGTCTGGCTACGCAACAACAACAACAACAACAACAACAACAACATTCCTGACCTCACAATTGTGAAAAAAAACAAGTGGTGATTGTCAATGTTGCAATCCCAGGTGACAGCAGAATTGACGAGAAGCAACTGGAAAAGCTTACACGATATGAGAATGTAAAGATAGAACTGCAAAGACTCTGGCACAAACCAGTAAAGGTGGTTGGCACACTGGGTGCAGTGCCTAAAGACCTTGGCATGCACTTAAAAACAATTAGTGCTGCCAAAATTACCATCTGTCAGCTGCAAAAGACCACCCTACTCAGATATGCACACATTATTCGCTGATATCGCTGGATCACACAGTCCTAGATACTTGGGAAGTGTCCGACGTGTGATTAAATACAAAAGCCTGCATAGTGATCATGTTTGCTGTGTACTAATCTTGTTATGTGTTAAATAATAATAATAATAATAATAATAATAATAATAATAATAATAATAATAATTTTATTTCTTCCCTGCCACTCTCCACTGCTCGAGGTGGGTCACAGCACAGTTGAAAACACACAAATACTATAAAAATTCTACAAACACAAATTTAAATTCAGTTCCACAAAAGATACAGATCAAAGCATTTCTGTAAAATACACATTAATCACACAGGACAGCAATTGGCTTTAGGATGCACAACCTTATGATGGAAATTCGCATTGGGTATATGGGGGTATTACAAGGCTTGACCTTGTCCCTAGTGCCTTTTAAAGCATGCATGAGATCACTTTGTTATGATGACTGTAGGCTTGAGTCAGCCATACAGTAACGACACACCCAGTTTCCATTTTCTACCTTCAAAATTTTGAGGAAACCATGAAATTCTTGAACAGGTGTCTGGAGATGGTTTTGTGACTGATGGTGGGAAGCAAGAACTGCCAACCTAGCAGTTCGATGAAACGTAGAGAAAATATGAAGGCACAGTGGATAAGTAGACTAGCTGATTGAAACGGAACAGCTCTAGATGGGGTTTCACCCTTCTTGAAGGGCCAAGTTCACAATAACTTTTTGGAGTAGGCTGCCTTTATCAGGGTTTGGAAATCAACTCTTTTTGGATCACAAGTTGGGAACTGTAGCCCAAAAACTGTAATTTTGCAAGTTGTGGTTTGGCACTGTCTGTGAAATAATAGTTGTTGGCATCAGCTAGGAAAGCCATTTACTTCCTGATCACATGTGGACAGAGTGGCTCTAATCTCAGTCTTGCAAATTGTTGCAAAAATACATTAAATTACAAAGCTTTTTAGCACTGTATCATCACTGGTTTAACCAGCAAACTTGTCTGAAACAGAGAAAATTCAACAAACTTTGGTCTTTTATGAAATCCTACTAGCAAACAATCTGGGAGAGAACCTAAGGGCTAATCAATTAAATTTATTTATTACCTCTAGGAGAGAACGATAAAGAAAAATAAGACTTGTTACTCACAAACTTTTCACTTACCTTAGAAACACTTAGGGTGGGAAGTAGACACACTTTTGTGAATAGTGTTATGAAATACATTGTGCAATGCAAACTCTTTGACATGGATGTTTGCTACTGGGAGGCCATGGAGTATTCCAAGTGTTGTGCTCTTAGGGCCTGGGTGTGTATACTCAGGAATGCTTCCTTGAATTTCTAGTTGCATTTTCAATCATTTGGAAAGGTAACAATAGTAAAGAGAGTGTTATGGAGAAATCTGTAGCTTTTCCATACATTTATGTGTATATGCTTATGAGTCCCTCATGCCTTTTGGTTATTTATTTATTTGCCATATTTATATCCCATAAATATATCAAAAGGCATGAGGTCCCTTTTAACTGTGAGTGAATAGAGAAACTATTTAAGGGACAAATATTATGTTTCACTGGCATACAGACATAGTATAATATAGTTAATTAATCTTTAGTATGTTCGGTTTCTTGTTAACCAATAAGTTGATAACCAATAAGTTGATAATCTTATGATTTCATTAGTACTGGTGGCCTATGCACTGATTCAGGTGGCAACTATTTTACACACTGTCACAGAGTCATAGTGGCCGGGACCAGTTTGTTTCCTGTGGCTACACTAAACTTGGGAGCCCCCAGTGGTGCAGCAAATTAAACCGCTGAGATGTTGAATGTGCTGACTGAAAGGTCAGAAGTTAGAATCCGGGGAATGGGATGAACTCCCGATGTTAGCCCCAGCTTCTGCCAACCTAGCAGTTTGAAAACTTGCAAATGTGAGTAGATCAATAGGTACCATTTCAATGGGAAGGTAACAGTGCTCCATGCAGTCATGCTGGCCACATGACCTTGGAGGTATTTAGGGACAACGTTTGCTCTTTGACTTACAAATGGAGATGAGCACCACCCCCCAGAGTCAGACACAACTAGACTTTAATATCAAGGGGAAACTTTTACCTTTATCTTACACTAAACTTGTAGAATGTACCTGGCTTGAAACTGCAACTTCTATTTTTATAGAGTTTAGCCAGACTCTTTTGTGTTAGTCTCTTGTATTTGATGTAGAAGTCTTCTTTTTATTTAAATATTGAAATTATTTTAATTGCGCATGCAATTTCAAAATCTAATTTTAAAATTAGATGTTGAGTGAGCTGCCAAATTAACAGAGCCTTGTCAAAAAGGAGTGTCACATAATTTACCCCAAAGATGATATGGATAGAAAATGTGATTGCCTGAAAAAATAATTGGTATATTTTCCAGAACTATGGCAGGTACTATGGCTGCTAATTGGGAAATTGAAATCTGATCCAAACTCAAGGAATGAAAAAACAAAATTATAAAGAGTGCTGTGGTAGCTTCTAAAGTATGTTTGAGCATAAAATAAGTTTTTATATTAAATGTCATCACATAGTTTGACATTTCTTGCTTCCGTTGATGGAATGTAGTCCTTTCTAGGTGTTCTGCTTCTGTTTCCTGTGTTGACGTCTGAAATTGTGGTTGTCTTCTTGTAGGTGGGTCTATAGTGTTCCAAGCTGCATCATTTTCAACTGACCTACTTAACAGTTATATATACCTCAATCTACATACTTGTTTATGAGAAAGGAACCAATGGTCTCGGTAATTAATAGAGAATCAGTGTCTTCTTCAGGATCCTTGACGGCCTCAGTTTCTGTGCAGCTAGACAATACCTCAGATGCTGTCAAGCCTGCAATGTCACCACTAAATCTGCAAGACTACAGTGGGGAACAAGTGTTTAACCCAGAAGATGTTTCCAACCTAATTTGCACATCAGAGATGGGTGTCTCATTATCAAAGGTAAAGAAGGAAATCGAGAAACCACAGACCACTGTCTATGAAGCTTATCTCAAACTACCAGATGTGTGCACAGAACTCTCTAGGGACTTCATCCCGACCCTGGAGGAGATTGAAGAGTTCCTGAATGAGAAAATGGCAGTTCTCAAGAATGAGCTCAGTGAGAAACAGCCAGTAGGAAGACAGTTTGAGATAAAATCTGAAATCAACCTGGGAAGCCCTGGAGAACAGTCTGTTACTGGAACCACTTTGGATGATGGCCTTTCATGCTCTGTTCAGGCTGGCGTCACAAGCATACCTGGAACATTGGGAACTATCCCTGTTGTCCTTCAGATCCAACCCATCCAAGTGACTGAAGGTGATCCGTCTACTCAGGGTCTTACTGGGGGCATAAGAGTGACACAATTGGTCATCAAAATGCAAGGGCAGAGCTTGACTATTCTTCCTCAGGTTGTCCAAAGCCCTACCACAGGCACAGACCAAAAGTATGTCCGCATCGCCCCTTTGCCTGTGGCATTGAGACCTGGAGTTCTTGGAAGCACAAGGAGCACTGAGGCCAAACTCCCCAAGTTTTCTTCTTCCACTATCCGAGTCCACAAGTGCACACATCCTGGCTGCACCAAAATGTACACCAAGAGTTCTCACCTCAAAGCACACTTCCGACGTCACACTGGGGAAAAGCCTTATATATGTACTTGGCCAGACTGCGGCTGGAAGTAAGTATACATCACTGAATGCTGCTTTCCCTGTCCTGCTGTTCAGACTTCATTCTTTGCTAGTAGATTAGTTGTCTTGCTTTTCATATAAGTGAAAGTGAGATTAGCTCTTTCAAAATCACCTTAATTATTTCTCTCAAACAATAATGCAATCCTATAATCCTTTTCTTAAATTAATTACATTCTATCCCCAAGCTGATAAAAGTTCATAATTTTGGTATTTTCAGATGGGTATTTGCTGGTTTGTGGGGTTTGTGGTGGTCTTGGGGTGTAGGGGTCACGATGTTTCAAGGCAAAGCTCTTCATGCTTTCTTGTGGGATTCTGAGGGCTTAAGATGCCAAAAAATATTGATGGCAACCTGAATCCAATGGTCTCCTTTTTTGCCCTCATGATGTAGACCAGGGGTCCACAAACTTTTTGAACAGAGGGCCAGGTCACAGTCCCTCAAACTGTTGGAGGGCCGGATTATAATTTGAAAAAAATCATGAATTCCTATGCACGCTGCACATATCTTATTTGTAGTGTAAAAAACACTTTAAAACAATACAATAATTAAAATGAGGAACAATGTTAACAAATATAAATTTATTAGTATTTAAATGGGAAATGTGGGCCTGCTTTTGGCTGATGAGATAGGATTGTTGTTGATGTTATGTACTTACAAGTCATTTCAGAATTAGGTTGACCCTGAGCGAGGGCCGGGTAAATGACCTTAGAGGGCCGCATCCGGCCCCCGGGCCTTGGTTTGAGGACCCCTGATGTAGACAGTTCTGTGCAAGATATACCAATAGTCTTATTCTCACACTTATCAGCAGTATGGGAGAAAGTCCCGCTTATTGATTTGATGCTTGTTGCCAAGTTTAAAGGCACAGGAACCTTATCCTGCAAGAAATACAGTGCTGCCCCTACCCCTCCTGACCACCCCTGCTCCACAGAATTGCATCCAACATGACTACATGGATACAGTATAATCTTCATATAGGAGGGACCGATATACATGATTTAACCTACCAGCATCTGACTAAATATGTCCTCTCTAGGAATTTTCTAGACCATCCAAGTAATTCCATGGTATGCTTTCACCAGACATAGAATTATCCTGGGAGTATGCTCTCTATGAATTTGCTAGGTCCTTTAGGGCAGCTCTATATATAGTACCTTTAGGTGGAAGCCATTTGTTTCAGTAGGGTTCACTATTATCCACAGTTCCTGTTGCCACAGTTAGTTCAAGAACTAACTGTTGCAACTCTGTGAATGCAGAGAAAGTACTGTATTTTCACCTCATTACTGCTACTGTCACCAGAATAGTTTCCTTCATTAGGTTGAGTGAAACCTATAAGTTTCTATGTCCCCTGGAATACACTGATTTTCATATAAAGGCTTTAGCTTTGTAAACTATTACTTTAACATCAAGACACCTTTTATTTCCTCATCAACATCACTCTCTTTTTTGTTATATTTTGCATTATAAAAAGATGTGGAGATCTTGAAAGAGTGCCCACAATGTTAAACATATTGGATTGGTTCTAATCGAAGGACTTAGCCATAGATTTCGGAACATACCAGAAAATCACTTCTATGCACTTTTTTGTGAAGTTTTTTCAAACTACAAGATACTTTTTCTACAGTGAAGTTGCAAAACCTTGAGAAATTGTTTTTATATGCATTCAAGCTATATATGTATCTATTTCTCAAACAGATGGTTGTATTTAAAATTTAAAGGCTTCCAGCTGTCCTTGGAGTAGCGAAGATGTTCAAAATGCCAGCAGTGTTTGGCTGATGAATTTGCAATTGCCATCGCTTGCAGGGAGTTTTGCAACAGTCTGTTGGAGCTGTGGTGCATCAGTCTTTTGAACTGCTTATGATAAGAAGAGGAACATGATGAAATATCTCATTTTCTTTTCAAAGCAGGATGTATGTATCCAGGCTTAAAGGGTATCAAATAGAGTAAATTTGTAGGGATCAAACTAATCCCAAATCAAAATGGGGAGGGATGTGTGTGAGTGTAGCTGGTCCTGTGCATGACCACACATGACCACACAGAGGAGTTTTCCCGGAATATGGGAAAATTACTTCTTTGGACTACAACTCTCAGAATCACTCAGGTGATGCATGGAATGCCCAGAATCCTAAAATAACTTCTCTATTTTAACTTACATTTTCCCAAACAGATTATCTATGCTTTTGACAGTCTGGGGCAGGATAAAGGAACAGAGGTGCTTCATGTTAAGCATAACTTCTGGTTAGGTTTTCCCAGAATTGACATGGAAGAGGGCATGAGAAAGAGAAAAAAGATGAAACTTTCTCCCATGTTCTACATGCAGAAGCTAACTAGGCTGAAAATTGGCAATTGACGAGCAGCCTTCACAGTAGTTTAAATACTGCAGTTTAAAAAATATAACACAGTCCCTGTGGCATACGGTACACAGATCTGTCAATCAAGGATATGTCACTGCTGCCTAAAACACATGTTTCCCTCTACCCAATGGATGGGCCATTCTTGAACCTCAAAAAGGAGCCATAGTTCAGTGATAGTGCACATGTTTCTGTACAGAAAGTCTGTAGCTCTATACTGTATGTCTGAAACTACAGATAATTGTTAGCTATCAGTTTAGGTTATATAGAGAAAGAAAGACCTGCAGCAGCTCCCTATATTAATCTAAAACAGTGGTTCCCAACCTTTTTTTTTTAAAGCAGGGACCACTTTGACCAGGGACCACTCTCCAACAATAGTACCAAAAGGAATATGAATAAGTTTTTAGTGAACTTTAGATTAGGTTTGGTTATTTGGGGTGTTGATTCAGAAAATTGCATTGGATAGACCACATCAGCTCTCATTTCTGATACAGAACATATGCTATCTAGTAGTCCCCATTTGCTCGCCTCCAGAAAACCATATTTAACAATCTAGAGCTGCAGACCTTATTTCAGGTTTTGCTAACTATCTGCATCCCTTTGGTTGGAAACCACTGATCTAAAATAATAGAAGAACAGATGCTTACCTGTTTTCTCTCTACTTGGAAATGTTACCTATTTTGACCTATAGCTCTGCGATGTTGGCATGTGTATTCTAGGAACTGCAGTCCCACACAGCAAGTTTTCCAGGTTTCTCTCACACTTCTTTTATAAGAATGAGAGAATGCAAGGCTTTCAGAAGTTTGGCAGAATGAATACATGAAGCAACAAACTACATGCTCTCTTCCCTCCCTTGCTACTTTGCTACTCTCTTAATTTACTGCTTCCTTTTAGCCTGCAGGCTATCAAGCTCAAGAAAGTGCTGGCTGGTCTGTTGTCTTCCAATTTCTTTGGCTATAATGACTTGAGATTTGGTATGCACTTCTTTTTTGTTATAGAGAAAGTTAGTCTATATTTTTTCAACTTGGAACTCTGGTAAATGTATTAGGCATTTGTTTGATCTCTGTCATGCTCTGTAGAAGCCTTGGCTACATTAGATACAGGCTGCAAATGCAGATGATGAATCGGAAAGATGGTAAACATAACAAGCCCCTCACTCCACATTTCACTGTACATTATGATGAAACACTCCTGATGACTCTACCATATGTGAAAGTTGCTAGGAATTCAGTGATTTCATTTGAAAGCTTATTTCTTTCCTTTCCCTTGTAGACACTCCAATACAGAGGTATGAGATTTAAAATTTTCCCGGTGATGCAAAAACAAACAAACAAACAAACAAACAAACAAACAAACAAAAAACCTGAAAAAGTTCCTTTTTTTGGACTGAAAATCCCTAAACCTCTCAACCATCAGTAGTCATGATACAGGCCCGTAGCCAGGATTTCGTTTCGGGGGGGGGGGGGGGGGGGGGGTTAATTTTTTTCAGGGGGGGTTTTGGGGGGGCTGAGTTTCGGGGGGGGGGGCTGAGTCTGAGTGAAAGAGGGTCTACCCTAGCAAACCTTTTGTTTCGTCCCCAATACCCCCATGCATATGGGATATATTGAGTATGGTGATCAGATCATGATATGAATAAACATAACAGTTTAAATAATGCACCAGTAAGGCCTTTTCGCGAACCACCATGAGAATTTCAGGGGGGGGGGGCTGAAGCCCCTCAAGCCCCCCCCCCCCCCCCCCCCCCCCGGCTACATGCCTGTCATGATACTTAGGGCTCTGGAGTTGTCAGCCAGCCCCCATAATTAATGGAATACTATATCTCCATCCATGTTACATAATTTTACAGTTACTTGACTACATAGCAGAGTTGCTAAGAATTGAGAAGACACATAACTGGACACAAGTATGAGTGCCCAAATGCATATTGAAACCAATGCATTTCCCATTATTCATTGGGGTCATTATTCAACAATCACTTTGTTGCTTTCTGCTACATGGCAATATAACAGTAGCTCTCTATTGGATACAAATGTTATGGAATTGGCCAGATCTAATCTCCCCAGAAGTAAGTCAGCCTATAACTCCCCAATAGGAGTTTACAAGTGAGGGAAGGGATTGTATTTCACCTACCTAATGTTACAAGTGAGGGAAGAGATTGTATTTCACCTACCAAGTCATTTACTGTGGTTCACATAGGGAATATATGACACAGCAGAGAATCAAACCTGGAATTCTTAAGTTTAGGTTAGTAGTTTGTAATTTTTTCCCAACCATTATATAGAGCAGTGGTTCTCAACCTGTGGGTTCCCAGATGTTTTGGCCTTCAACTCCCAGAAATCCTAACAACTGGTAAACTGGCTGAGATTTCTGGGAGTTATAGGCCAAAACACCCTGAGACCCACAGGTTGAGAACCACTGTTATAGAGTACTTTTCTGGGTTTGGAAAGTTCTGGAGCAAGGATCTCATTGTGGTGGAGAAATAGTGGTGCTGGTTTTCTGTCTGGATCAGTCCACCTTCCTTCACTTTGGAGAAGATGACAAAATATGAAGTAGGGGGAAACCACATTTGCTTGCAGAATAGGACGCATCCATCATTTGTTTATACCCTAACCTTCTACCAGACTGGGAGTCATGACAATTTGCTAACAGACAGAAAATTACAATAAAAACATTAACATTGATTTCTTTTGGACCATGATACCTTGGAGAGTCTAGTAACTGTGATCAACAAATCTTTTCCAAGCCTGAGGCAAGGAATTCAGGAAGAGAGTAAAATACTTCTCTGCACAATAATTAATGGATTTACAACCACTAATTTACCCAAGGATGGCACTGCCTTAGAAATAGTAGACAAATCCTGAAGGACAGGTCTGTCAAAAGCTGTAAGGCACAACTGGACTGTAGTCTTCACATATTGCTTTCTGAGTTTCAGGACATATCTAATTAACTACTGTGGATGCAAGAGTGCAGGATGCTAGAATAAATTGATATTTAGTCTGCTCCAGAACAGTGGTTGTTGTGTTTCATCTCATGAGAAAAGCTAGAGTAGAGAAAGGAAGCAAAATGTTTGCAAGTTCATGATCTTGGATATGCTCGTTCTTATCCATATTGGTCTCAGCTCCAGAGAATGATGAAGTTTAGCCTATGCATAGGTTCAGAGACATGGAAAGGGCCCTCAACCCATTTTTGCTCCCATTAATCATTACCAAGCCAATAATTTTTATCCTGTTTCATGAACAATTCTTTGCCATTCCTGTAACCTGCTTTTTATAGCATCATACCTAATGAAGAAATAAGAAAACCTTCTCTCATTCCCCTCCTTCTTTAAAAATCCCTTCACCTTAGCTAATAGAGATATTTTACTAATGTAAATTTTGGAATTTGAAAATTGTCATGCACTTTATGTTCTAAATCCAATTGTACACAACTTTTTAAAGCCTCACACCATTTGCTCCCATGGTTTAGGCACCATACTAGTCAGGATGACGATTGTTGAGCAGCCTTTGGATGAGGAGTCTTTCCCCCAGAACTGAGGAATATGTTATTCTCCAGTTAAAGTGTACTTCTTTTCAGTCTCAACCAATCTAGTCAATGGTGAGGGATGATGGGAATAATAATCCACCAATATTGAGAGAGCCACAGGTGCTCCAACATCATTCCATCTAGAGCAGGCATGGGCAAACTTTCTATCTTGGGGGCCGTATGCTAGCACTCCTTGCTAGGAGGACTGGCTGCTTGGTGATAGAAGGAAGGAAGGAAAGGAAGAAAGAAGGAAAGAGAGAAGGAAGGATGAAAGAGAAGAAGGGAAGAATGGAAGGAAAAAGAGGGAGAGAGGGAAGGGAGACAGGAAAGAGGGAAGGGAAGAAGGAAGAAAGAGAGAAGGAAGGACAAAAGGGAGGAAAGGAGTGGAGGGAAGGAAGGGAGACAGGAAAGAGAAAAAGGAAGGAAAGATGGAAGAAAGAAGGAAGGAGAAAGAGGGAGAGAAGGAAGGAATGATGAAAGCATGGAAGAGGAGGATAGAAGGAAGGAAGGGAAAGAGGAAGGAAAGAGGGAAGGAAGGATGGAAAGGAATGGAGGGAGGGAGAAAGAGGGAGGGAAGGTAGGGAAGGAGGAAGGAAAGAGAGGAAGAAAGGACAAAAGAAGGGAGAGGGAAGGTGGAAGGAAAGAGAGAAGGAAGGGCAAAAGGGAGGAAGGGAATGGAGGGAGGGAGAAAAAGGGAGGGAAGTAAGAGACAGGAAGGAAGGAAGGAAGGAGAAAAAGGGAGAGAGGGAAGGAATTATGAAAGCATGGAAGGGGAGGATGGATGGAAGGAAGGAAGAAAGGAAGGGAAGGAGAAAGGGATGGAAGGAAGGATGGAAGGGAATGTCAGGAGGGAGAAAGAGGGAAGGAAGGAAAGGAGAGAAAGAGAGGAAGGAAGGAAGGAGAAAAGGATGGAAGGGGAGGAGAAAGAGGGAGGGAAGGAGGAAGAAAAGGGAGAAAGGAGGAAGGATAAGATGGTGTGAGAGGAGGGTCTGAGAAAAGTCCAAGGGGCCGCATCTGTCCCCCAGGCCTGGGTTTGCCCATACCTGTTATAGTGTCATCTGTTCTGAGCTCCATGCCAACTGTGGACAGAACTAGAAGTGGATGAGGGCACCTCTTCTCTTTTTTACAGTTTTCTTTACCTCTCTGTTATCCTCCTTCTTTTCCTTTTTGCTGCCACCCAGCTTTATCTCTCTCTTTGTCATTTTCTATTTTTCTATCTGGCACCCTACGTTCCCACTGCAGTCTCTCACTCTTTCTCTCTCTCTCTCTGGCATTCTTTCCTCTATTATCTCACCCTTTTATCTCTTTCTCCATTTTGCTCACAAGACTATGCATAGAAAGGATAGCTCCATCTTGCCAGACCCCACAACTGATCACGTGCAGAGTATTTTTGAAACTGTGCCATAGGCTGCAGGTTGCCCAAACCTGTCCGATATCTTTTCAATCATAAATGAAAATTGAGTTGAACAATGGCCCCTTTACAATTAAGAGGGACCGTATCTGGCTGGGATTTCTTCCTGCAATGGCAATGAGATCATGTCTGTTCTGTTCCTGGATTATGTAACACCAGAGAAGTTGTGCTCTCTTCTGCCTTTCTGCTTTCTTCACTCCAGGGAGACGGTTTTTCACGAAAACATGATAACTTTATTAAGGTTTGTGAGTTCCTTTATCAGGAGCCTCTGTTGAAACTCTTGCCAAGGCTTACTGATGTGTCTGATATCTGTGTTCCAATTCATAAATGAAAAGGAACGGGTGTGTATGTATGTGTATAAAAGAAAAAAAAAAGAAGGAAATCCACAACTAACAGAAGTGAGTTAGAAGAGGAATATGTGAATAATGAACCTTTAGGAAATCTTTATTATTGAATCTCCAAGACTCCATCTCTCCTTTTCTGCTTCTTCCATATGGAGACAAGTTGGCATTTCCAACACCTGGAGAACATAGATCCTGAAGGACGGTGTGAACTTATCCATAGAATTGAACTTGCCCATTCCTACAGACTTTTGATGTTGGATTGTAAAAGCCTAACTGCAGTACAAGATGCAGTTCAACGAAGCTCAATGTGGGAAAGAATGGCATTCTGCTGAAGCCCTTTCTACTGCAGTTCTGTGTGCTTATCTGTAGGCAAGGTGAATGGCAGCTGCCTCCAGAATACCTTACTAAACATGTATGAACAGCCAAACATAGAGAAAGGGGGAGAGCAGATAAACCTGCCTCACCTGATGTACTTTTAGCTTGTTCAAAGTTTGGTCATCAATAATAGAAATCATTACAAATGTTGACAGAAAAGATTATGTCTCAAGATGGATTTTGGAAGAAGCTTTCATGGGATCAGAAATTTCAAAATGTTTTGTTTACTTTTGCAATGTCTACCTGACCTGGTTTTTTAAATTTCCCATTTGCAGTTAGTTTTGAGTAAAATGTTCACTGAAATGTATTTAATTAAATATCCTTATTCTTTTAGTGTTATTTCTGCCTCTTGTACTGAAAAGAAGTAATGTTCAGGAACGAATCTACTTTGTTAATTGTGATATATCTATATGTAATTTGAAAATATGACAAGGAAGCATAATTTTAGAAATGGGGGAAAAATAGACTGAAACTAAAGCACAAACTGCTCCGCCATCTATTCTGTATCCCAGGAGCCTCTTCTGCATAATGTGGTTTGGTGATGATGATACTGGCTGAAGAAAGCAGTCTCCTTGGTTTACACAAATGTGCAGTAAACATCTTGTCCTCTGTCTGGCAGGTTTTCCCGTTCTGATGAGCTCTCTCGCCACAAGCGTTCTCATTCGGGACTGAAGCCTTACCAGTGCCAAGTCTGTGAGAAGAAGTTTGCCCGCAGTGACCACTTATCCAAACATATGAAAATCCACAAAGGGTCATTCAGTTTGGGAAGTCGGACAGTGCAAGGTTGTATTGGAAACAGTTAACCCTCCCTTGGCTGCTGTCCCAAGAGAAGCTTCTCAGTGACATCTGATGGAAACACAAAATATGATTTTCCTCTGGGAAGAAAGGAGACAAGGAACTCATAGCTTAAAATATATGGATGGCATCCACCTGAACATACCTTACAGTCACTCTTGATAATTGTGAGCCTTTCTGCAACATTTGAAGAAGGAATGCAACATTTAAAGAAGTTGTGGTGGGAAGAATACAATTCTCACTTTTAAATTTTGGAATCAGGACTATTTTAAAGTATTTCTAACCATTTTGCTATTGTGTACGCATGGGATGATAAGTGAAACAGGAGTGCCTCTTTCAGCATTTCTGTTTCCATCAGCATCCTATCTTATCACTCTGTCAGTGATCCTACAATGTAAATGAACATTAATTTTCAATAATGCCACTATATGGACGCCTGCTAAAATTGTGGAAGCAAGTCTGAAAATTATGAAAGGTAGATTCCAAAACCAAGAATTCCTATTTCTGTATGAATTCTAAACTTCGTTGTTTTGAAATATGAGCTTCACCTTAGTAAAACCGTTTTTAGCCCATTAGGTTTTGTAGTATTCAGTATTATTTTCTTGGATTTCATTGGCAATCATTGCAGAAACTCGCTGCATTTTGGATTACTGTGATTTGGCTCTCACGGCCTGTTTAAATGCCTGTGTTCTGAATGGTGACTTTTAGTGCCTACAATGGCATACAGAGTGAACTTTGTGCACTCTTTCTTTCTTTCTTTCTTTCTTTCTTTCTTTCTTTCTTTCTTTCTTTCTTTCGAGAATTGTATGGTGAAAAACAGATTCTCCTTTGTCTCTGTTAACAGGCAAGAAAAGGTATCTTCAGCTCAGCCCATTCTGTAAACTTTGGGGATGTAGCAGGGCTTACGGGGTTCAAACCTTCAGAGTTCCCTTTGTAGGCTGACAGAGTTTGGGAATTTTAGTTGATTTCTTCCTCTTTTCAATTGAGTTCATGTGATTGTTGCTCTCTCATTTGATTTTTTTTCATACATAAAAAATGGCTCCAGTGTTTAGAGGCCTGGGCATAGTTCCTTGTTGTTGGTTAAGGGGTTGTTTTCATTTTTTTTCTTGAGTTTGTTAACTCTGCTTTCACCATAGAATTCAGGGTAAAGGACGCAACTGATAAAAAGCCATTTGCACTTCATGGCTGAATATGGATTTAAAAAGCTCCTCTTTTGTAGTTATTACATTGCTATACTTCAATCTCATGATGTTTCTTTTGTAGAAGCAACTACCTTTTCCTTAAAAACTATTCTATTATAACCAGCCAGCCACAAGACACTGCTTTGTTTTTTGCAAGCCTTAATTTACACCTCTGGAACGTAACTCACAGCTACTTTAAACTGGAGCTTTGAGTAACTAATTAATGTATATTCCAATAACGCAAGGGGAGTTGGTGCCTTCCATGTTAGTGGCTGGGCAATTCTGCCCTGGGTTTTGGTTTAAACATTGAAGTGCTGAATCTATTTTGGACTGAGGGCTATCACTGTAGAATCAATGTAGTTTGCCACCACTTTAACTGCCATGGCTCAAAGCAGGGGACTCTTGGGAGAGAATCATGAGAATTCACAAGTAGTTTGGTGAGTCACTTGACAAGAGTACTGGTGCCTCACCAGACGACAACTTCCATGAATCCATAGTGTTGAGCCATGTCAGCTAACACGGTATCAAACTGAATTAATTCTACAATGTAGATGCAGCCTAAGATTCTGAACCTTGGTAGTGCATTTAAAATGTAGACCAAAATCTAGTGCAGATTTACTACTTCAGAGCCAGAAGTCACTTTTTCATCATTTCATTACATCATGATTTCAGCTTAATGGGGGACGTCACCCATTTTGCAGGGAAAGAGTAACTTTTTAGTTGCTTTTAAAATTACTACAGAGTCCTTTTGCAGTTTATGGCTATGACACTATAATTCCACATTAGCTACCATGCTTCCATCTTATGCAATTGTTAGGTTTTCAGTTGTGTGTGTGTGCGTGTGGAAGGGTGAATTTAGGTTTCTCTGCCAGAGAGTTTTAGTGATGCTCCAAATTGCAGACCCCAGGATTCCATAAGATGTTGCCACAGTGAGTAAATGGAATATAACACTATTATTGTGTAATGTGAAAAAGCCCAAGAGCAGGCCTGGGCAAACTTGGGCCTTCCAGGTGTTTTGGACTTCAACTCCCACAATTCCTAACAGTCAGCAGAATTGAAGCACAAAACACCCGGAGGGCCCAAGTTTACCCAGGCCTGTCCTCGAGTGTAGGGAGGAGTGCTGGCACATGCTGCTGCCTTGTGCTCTATTGAAGTGACGGTGATTTTAGCACAAAGAATGTACCAGTTTGTATTGCAGGCTGTGTTGCCCTTATCCAAAATGTTGGGAATCAGAAGTCTTTTGTATTTCCGATCCCCTCCTCCCCATTTTGGAATACTTGCGTATACATCTTAGAGATGGGACCCAATTCTAGACAAAAAGTCATGTATGTTTCATAGACACCCTATACACAGAACCTGAAGATAATTTTATACACAATGTTTCAAATAATTTTGTGCTTGAAACACAGTTTGTGTGCACTAAACCATCAAAAAGCAAGGGTGTCGTTATCTCAGCCACCAGTGTGGACAATATTGGAGCATTTTGGTTTTCAGAATTCCAGGTAAGGGATGTTCAACCTGTATTCAGATACCTTTGTTCAACTATGTGAAAAAAAAATCTTCCATTCACTTTCAAGAAATGAAAATGGAAAAGATATCTTGAAATGCTTAACTATAACAATAATGAACCTCTGGGTTGGCAGCAGACCTAAAACTCAAAATAAACTACTTTGATAAAAGTAACTTCTCAAGTTCTGGCTTAATGTATTCTTGCTGCAAAATAAATGAGTTTTCACCTGAGTAATGGGGAATATTCTCTTTCCCATGTTCTTGAACTGCACAAAGATGCAATGTAACAAGTACTAGGGAGGCAAATACCTGTATGTTTGTTCTTTTGTTTCTTATGCACCTCCAGCATGCCCTGATGTGTTGGACAAGATCTTACGAGATGATGAGAACAATCATTTTATAATGTGGTAAGACTAGGAGGCAGTATCTACATATATTTACTTGGAAGCCTATGATTGCAAGATGTTTGCTTGGGGATAATTCTTGTTCTTGCTTGCCTTGAATGTTCCAGCCACCTTCCCCTTTGGGCACCTTCTTTTTCACTATGTGCCAGCTTGGGTGACTCACACCACCTCACTTTTCTCTTGCTCCAGAGCCCTATACATCCAAATTCAATTTGCTCTCCGGCTACATTATCCCAAGTTGCTGTTTCAGTTTCCATGCAGCCTTCTAAATGAACCTATAAAATATGTGCTGCCGCATTACCCTTCTCATTGAATGAACCTCTGGTAGTGGAAGTAACCAAGAGAGGGATTGAAAAGCATCTCCTGCAGAAAAATGTACAATGGCAATTTTGCTATTTAAAGCCCACAAAAAAGATTTCTTGTGCTCACAGGTGCAGAAAGGCAGGATTCATGCCCAGCCATGCAGAGAGAGAGAGAGAGAGAGAGAGAGAGAGGGAGAGAGGGAGGGAGAGGGAGATTTGCATATGTCACAAGAGAGAAAAACAAACTGAATAAGCCATCAAAACTGGCAGATTCATTTGCCAGCCACTGCATTCCTTATGAAAAGAAGATGTTTTATGGTAACCATGTGACTCCCACCCTCCTTCACTTTCTTTCTTTCCTTTCATATGAAAACAAGTATGATTTATGAAGGCCTTCTTACGTTGCAATTGATTATCTGAAGACAACAGTCCCTTATTTCACTTCGGCCCCTGATTTAACTTGTCATGGTTGTGTAGGCTGGTCAAGGAAGGAAGCTTATTCGAAATGTGCAGGAGGAGAGTTCTACAGATAACACACACTGCTAAAGAGAGAGAAAAAAACAAAAACAAATGGGTCCTAGAACAAATCAATACCAAACTCTCCCTATAAGCTAAGGTGACTAAACCAAGACTACTGTACTTTGGACATACCAAGAGAAGTCATAACTCATTAAGAAAAACAATAATACTTGGGAAGGTAGAAGGCAGCAGGGAAAGAGGAAGATCACACTGCATATGGATACACTGTATAATAATAATAATAATAATAATAATAATAATAATAATAATAATAATAATAATAATAAATACAGCCCTAAGACTAAAACCTGAGCAAGGCTGAAGGTCTCTTATTAACAAGGTCAGAGGTGGATAAAAGTGGAGTAAACCTGCTACCTATGATAACATTAGAAACTTTCCCCACAACTTGGCATAAATAATAATAATAACAATAATAACAATAACTTTATTTTTTTACCCCGCCAACCATCTCCCCTAGGGGACGGGGCGGCTTACAAGGGACACGCCCAAGATTACAATTAAGACACACATGTAAAACACTTTAACCCATTAAAACATCAGATAAAACAAATAACAACACAATTGAAAGCAATATAAAAACAATACGGCTGAAAGAAACATAGTTGAGGTACAGAGTCAATGAGTGCAATACATTTTTATAGGAGCATAGGAAAGTGCAACAATATAGTAAACTGAGCAGGAAATACTGTCAAACACATGTTGAGGTAGAACGTATGCCAGTGTAAAATGTGGGCCTGTGTAAAGTGCGGAACTTCAAGTAGGGACAAGAAAGTTACTGGTGAGCTGCTTAGTCAAAAGCGCACCGGAACATCCAGGTTTTTAGTTGACCCCGAAAGGAGGATAAGGTGGGAGCCTGTCTGATCTCCCTAGGAGGGAGTTCCAGAGCCGGGAGGCCACCACTGAGAAGGCTCTCTCCCTCGTCCCCACCAACCATGCATGTAACGGCGGCGGGAGAGAGAGCAGTGCCTCCCCAGAAGATCTCAAGGTATGCACTGGTTCAGAGGGGAAGATGTGATTGCGAAGATAAGCAGATCCCGAACTGTTTGGGGCTTTATAGGCGATGACCTGCACCTTGAATTGGGACCGGAAACTTGTTGGTAGCCAGTGAAGCTGTTTAAACAGGAGGGTTGACTGCTCTCTGTAACCAGCTCCCGTGAGTAGTCTGGCTGCAGATCTCTGGATCAACTGTAGTTTCCGGGCCGTCTTCAAGGGCAACCCTATGTATATAATTGTTATATTGTATTATTATTAGTATTATATTGTATTACATTATAATATTATTATCAATATTATTGTATACACATAATATTGATAATAATATTATAATGTAATACAATATAATACTAATAATAATATAATATAACAATTATATATTTAATATTACATGTAATATTACTAATATTACAGCAGCGGACTCAGAGCTATGGGTTCAAATTACAAGAAAGGCAATTCCACCTGAATATTAGGAAGACCTTTCTGACCGTAAGAGCTGTTCAACAGTGGAACTCTCTGCCTAGGAGTGTACTAGAAGCTCCTTCTTTGAAGCCTTTTAAACAGAAGCCGAATTGCCATCTATCAAAGATGGTTTGATTGTGATTTTTGTGCATGGCAGAAGGTTTGACTAGATGGCCCATGTGATCTCTTCCAACTCTGTGACTGACTTTACAGTTGACTTATATCGACAAGTATACTTGGAAATAAATCTGTTGGGCTCAGTTGGATTTAAAACGCAAGCAATTATTCCAAGTCCAGCATGACCTCTATTCAACATATAGAGGTACTCATTCTTCTCCTATTCCAAAATCTTTTTAAAAAGCTATATATTTTTACAGACACACAGAACTTCAACATCTCCAGAGTATTAATTTGCTTGGCCCTTCACACAAAATAGTAAAATATGGCAGGATCAATCTTGTTTTAATCAGTACATGCTAACCCAAGCACTGGCAAACTTTGGCCCTCTAGGTGTTTTGGACTTCAGCTCCTGCCAGCTGTTAGGATTTGTCAGAGGTTGCCAGTGCCTGTCCTTAGCCTCCTCCTCCTCTAGTCTTCTGAGTTTGAAGTTGGTAACTTGTTATATTGTCATTTTTGTTGTGTGCTTCCAAATTATTTCTAACGCATGGCAATGATGGGGCTTTCTTGGCAGGATTTGTGTGTATGTGTGTGTGTGTGTGGGGGGGGAGGGGGTTGCCCTTTGAGGCTGAGAAAGTGTGGCATGTCCAAGGTCAGGTAACCTTCTACACTGCCAGATAATCCAGGTTATCAAAGTAGAAAATCCACATTATCCATTTTGAACTGGATTATCTTTGTCTACACCACCATATAATCCAGTTCAAAACAGAGAATGCCAATTATCTGCTTTGATAATCTGAATTATATGGCAGCGTAGAAGGGGCCTCAGTGAGCCTTTCTGGCCAAAAAAGGGTTCAAATTATAGTCTCCCAGTGTGTTTGAGTGCATCTTCACTGCAGAATTTGACACCACTTTAGCTGCCAAGGCTGAATGCTATGGAATCCTGGGATTTGTGGTTTGATGAGGCACCAGAACTTAATGACTTGTAAAGCTACAATTCTCAGGGTTCCATAGAAGCTGAACTGGTGTTAAATTGTGTTAATTCTGCAGTGTAGATGCATCCTCAGTGAAGACATGCAATATCAATTATGTGACTCAGCTTCTTAGGGCCCTTCCACATAGCCATATAACCTAGAACAGTGTTTCTCAACCTTCCTAATGTCGTGACCCCTTAATACAGTTCCTCATGTTGTGGTGACCCCCAACCATAACATTATTTTTGTTGCTACTTTATAACTATAATTTTGCTACTGTGATGAATTATCGCGTAAATATCTGATATGCAGGATGTATTTTCATTCAATGGACCAAATTTAGCACAAATACCCAATATGCCCAAATTTAAATACTGGTGGGGTTGGGGGGGATTGATTTTGTCATTTGGGAGTTGTAGTTGCTGGTATGTATAGTTAGCCTACAATCAATGAGCATTCTGAACTCCACCAATGATGGAACTGAACCAAAGTTGGCACACAGGACTCCCATGACCAACAGAAAACATGAGAAGGGTTTGGTGGGCATTGACCTTGAGTTTTGGTGTTATAGTTCACCTACATCCAGAGAGCATTGTGGACTCAAACAATGATGGATCTGGACCTAACTTGGCACGAATACTCAATATGCCCAGATGTGAACACTAGTGGAGTTTGGGGAAAATAGACCTTGACATTTTGGAGTTGTAGTTGCTGGGATTTATAGTTCACCTACAATCAAAGAGCCCCTTGAAGCCCATCAATGATAGAATTGGGCCAAACTTCCCACACAGAACCCCCATTAACAACAGAAAATACTGTGTTTTCTGATGGTCTTTGGTGACCCCTCTGGCACCCCCTTGCGACCCCCCCCCAGGGGTCCCGACCCCCAGGTTGAGAAACACTGACCTAGAACATCATGGCAGAAAATCCCACAATATCTGCTTTGAACCGGGCTATCTGAGTCCACCTTGCCATATAACCCAGGTCAAAGCAGATAATGTGGGATTTTATACAGCTGTGTGGAAGGTGCCTTAATTATTACGTTGTTTAAAGAGATCCTTTAAAATAAACCCTTTGCTTTGCTTTGATAATCCATATTTCACTTTTAAGGGTTGCAGATCATGATGCTTAAAGGCGCATCCCAGAATATCAAGGCAGAAAATCCCACATTATCTGAGTGTGAACTCAGAAAATCCAGTTCAAAAGCAGATATTGTGGGATTTTCTGCCATGATATTCTGGGATATAGGGCTGTGTGGAAGGGACCCCAGTTTACCAGCTGTTCAGATTACTGGGAGTTGAAGGCCAAAACATCTGGGGACCCACAAGTTGAGAAGCACTGGCCTACAAGATAAAAATATTTATATGTGCTTCTACATTCTAGTTTCTATAGTTTCTAGGATATAGGGCTGTGTGGAAGGGCCCTGAGGCATAATGAAAATCATGCATAGTTCACGTTCAGTCCACATAGTTCAGGCCACATTATCTTGCTAGAGAAAAGAAAATATGCCATGGAGACAGGGGCGACTCAACCCATTACGCAAAGTAAGCATTTGCAGTTTAGTTGATTTTGCCCAAGGGAGCTCTTGAGGTGCTCTTGGGGGAAAATACACCTTGACATATGCGAGTTGTAGTTACTGGGATATATAGTTCACCTCCAATCAAAGAGCATTCTGAAGTCCACCAATGATGGAATTGAACCAAATATGGCACACAGAACTCCCACGACAAACAGAAAATATATATCAGTGATTGGTTGGGGGGGAGGGTATGCCAAAATACTGTTTGCTTACGTGTTGAAAATTACCTAGGGCCGCCTCTGCATGGAGATGACCAGAGCAACATATATACAATGATGTGAACAGTTGCATTGACTCACACAATATCCTTTTTAAGACCTTCAAATGGTCTTTATGTGTCCATGTGGAAAATCTCCTTCCAGGAGCTCATGCAGCAATAACACTAAAACATATCTTTCTCTGAGCTCCAGCACATCTAAGCCTAAAAATGTAATTGTTGCCAAAACTCCCAGGCTCAGCTATCTCCCTGGGCATGGCCCAACCAATCAGCTTCATGCTTTGCATTTTCAGTTAACACACTCACAGATTTCTTACATGCGCCAACACCTTCCACACAATGTATTGTCGAAGGTTTTCATGGCTGGAATCACTGGGTTGTTGTAGGTTTTTTGGGCCGTATAGCCATGCTCTAGAACAGGGGTCCTCAAACTAAGGCCCGGGGGCCGGATGTGGCCCTCCAAGGTCATTTACCCGGCCCTCGCTCAGGGTCTACCTAAGTCTGAAATGACTTGAAGGCACACAACAACAACAACAACAATCCTATCTCATCAGCGAAAAGCAGGCCCACACTTCCCATTGGAATACTAATACATTTATATTTGTTAACATTGTTCCTCATTTTAATTATTGTATTGTTTTAAAGTGTTTTTACACTACAAATAAGATATGTGCAGCGTGCATAGGAATTCATTCGTTTTTTTTCAAATTATAATCGGCTCTCCAACAGTTTGAGGGACTGTGACCTGACCCTCTGTTTAAAAAGTTTGTGAACCCCAGCTCTAGAACAGTGCTTCTCAACCTGTGGGTCCCCCGGTGTTTTGGCCTACAACTCCCAGGAATCCCAGCCAGTTTTCCAGCTGTTAGGATTTCTGGGAGTTGAAGGCCAAAACATCTGGGGACCCACAGGTTGAGAACCACTGCTCTAGAAGCATTCTCTCCTGACGTTTTGCATGTATCTATGGCAGGCATCCTCAGAGGTTGTGAGGACCTTTCACACAGTCATATCATCCAGAATATCAAGGCAAATACTCCACAATATCTGCTTTGATCTGAGTCCCCACTGCCATATAACCCAGTTCAGTGTGGAAGGGGCCCAAAGCAGCCTTCAAACAGGACAGAACTTATTCCAACACAAGCACATGCCCTGCTCCTCATTGGCCTGAGGAGAACCACTGAAAAACTTCAACCCCCAGAATGCTCTGCGGAAGAGAGGCGGGACAAGCTCCCTTATTGGCGGACGCGTTCAAGAGCTTCGCTGCCATTGGCTTGCATGCCCCTCTTTCCATTCAGGGGGGTGTGCTGCCGGAAGTGGCGGCTACGGCGGCCGTCATGGGCGCGAGGCGTCGTTCTGAGGCGGAGTGAGGGAGGCTCGCAGTCCGTCCGGAGCGGAGGAAGAGGTGGTGGTGGTGGTGGAGGAGGAGGAATGGGGGCCCGGCCCGCGAGTTTCCGCAGGGGTCCTGGGCCATGAGAGGCAGGGCCTCGGCAGGGAGCGCCACACCTGCCGCCGCCGTCGTGAGGGAGCGGGCTTAGGTGAGTGGGTCTAGGTTGAGGCCACCCCGAACCCTTTCGCCTGACAGGGGCCTGTTGCCCCTAGACGGCCAGAAATGCACTCTGGACATGCTCAGGAGCCTCCTCCCCCTTATAAGTCACATGCTTAGGAGGGACGTGTCTTCATAACACAGATCTCATTTTAAAAGTGCATCCATCTACCTCCCTTTAACGTTGTGAACCCATGTGTGGACTTTATAGGCACTCTCAGTTGTTTATATCAGGCATGGTCAAACATCAGCCCTCCAGGTGTTTTGGACTTCAACTCCCACAATTCCTAGGCTGTTAGAAATTGTGGGAGTTGAAGTCTAATTCTCATGGTGGTTCGCAAAAAGGCCTTACTGGTGCATTATTTAAACTGTTATGTTTATTCATATCATGATCTGATCACCATACTCAATATATCCCATATGCATGGGGGTATTGTGGTAATAATACAAAAGGTTTGCTAGGCTAGACTCTCTTTCACTCAGACTCAGCCCCCCCCCCCCCAAACGAAATCCTGGCTACAGGCCTGCCTGGAGGGCCAAAGTTTGCCCATGCCTGCCTTGTAGGCACTCTCAATTGTTTAGTGGTGATATGAAAGAAAATTTTGGACATTGTGACACTGGATTCTCCCGGCTTGGCTTTGGTGTATTGGCACGTTAATTTATTGTTAATGAATTTATTTATTTGTTGAATCTGTATAATGTTTAAAATGGATTTTATTGTTTTAATTGTAATTTTATTGGTGTCTATGTTGATAGCATCATCGGATGCTTATGTAAGGCCACCCTGAGTTCCCTTGTGGGGAGAAGGGTGGGATAGAAATGTATGTAATAATAATAATAATAATAATAGGCATTATTTATTTATTATTTATTTATTTACAGCTTTTATATTCCGCCCTTCTCACCCCGCAGGGGACTCAGGGCAGATGACAGTGTACACATATATGGCAGACATTCATGCCAATTTTTGACATACAAACATATACAGACATACACAGAGGCTATTTAACTTTTTCTGACCGCCAGGGGAGCTGTCGCTTTCATCGTTCATCTGCGACATTGATGAAGTACTTCCGCAATCCCCGCATCCTTCCCCGCTGGAATGCTTTGCTGGAGTCTTCTTTATGGCCTCATAAATCAGTTAATTTAGCCTCCCCACACTTTAAGGTGGTACCTAATTTTCCTACTTGACAGATGCAACTGTCTTTCGGGTTGCAAAGGTCAACAACAGGCTACAGAATTGGTTGGAAACCCACTCCAACCCAGGCTGGCTTCGAACTCATTACCTTTTGGTCAGAGTGATCTTAATGCAGCTGACACTCAGCCAGCTGCTCCACAGTCCCAGTGCATGAGCAAACTTGAGCCCTCCAGGTGTTTTGGACTTATTTATTTATTTATTTCTCTTATTTCTATCCCCTCCTTCTCAACCCTCGACTTCAACTTAAGCGGGGGGGGGGGGGGGGGGGGGGGGGGAGGAAGGGGCCTGAGGCTGTTAGGAATGGTAGGAGTCCAAAACACCAGGAGGGAGTGCCCAGGTTGGCCCATGTCTGGTTTATATATTGTAGGTTTTGAATTACATTTTCCTCAAAGGCTGACTAAAGTTTATTTTAATGTCCCTCCTTCCTTTGTTTACTGATTCAAAGGGACACCAGAGCCAGGGTTTCCCTAGTCGCCCTTCCTTGGAGGTATACTCCAGGCACGAGCAAACTTCGGCCCTCCAGGTGTTTTGGACTACAACTCCTACAATTCCTAACAGCTGGTAGGCCGTTAGGAATTGTGGGAGTTGTATTCCAAAACACCTGGAAGGCCGAAGTTTGCTCATGCTTGTTATACTCTTTAACTATTTTTAAGTATACCCTGCTTAAAGATGATCTCCTGCTTTATAATATGTATATCCCACTTTCCTATCTCAGGGGAGACTCAGGCCCCTTCCACACAGCTGAATAAAACCCCACATTATCTGCTTTGAACTGAAATATATAGCAGTGCGAACTCATATAATTCAATTCAAAGCAGATATTGTGGGATTTTTCTGCCGTGATATTCTGGGTTACATGGCTGTGTGGAAAGGCCCTCAAAGATCCTAAGAATGCTGAAAACAATGCATTTTACATTTTAGCTCTACGTGGGACCACGATAGTACATTTATTTTATTTATTTATAGTATTTATATTCTACCCTTCTTGCCCTGAAGGGGACTCAGAGCAGATCAGAGAACATATATACGGCAAACATTCAGTGCTGTTATACACTGACAAGACAAAGAGTTGTACATAGCTAGAGGTATATACAAAGCTTTCCCATCTTCGTCATTTGGAGGCTGTTCTCAGTTCTGGCCACCGGGGTGTGTGTGTGTTGCTGTCGCTCCACTTCTTTTGCTGAAGAGCTTTGTTCGTAAACTCCCCCCATGATCGAATCACATAACATAGCCGTAACAATAGCATAACAAATGTCTGATTCCACAGCTTACATTGGGAAGAAACAGCCGGAATCCATACAAATAAAAAACCTTCCTAAGCACCCAGGCCTATGGAGAAGGGAATGGTTAAAGATCTGGCCTTTGATACAAGGAATGGAATATGGACATAGCTTTTAACCCTGTTTTTATTGATACTGGGTAACATGTTTTACTGCTCTTATTGTGATTTGTTATCTGGTTGAATGTTTGTACTATTTCTTTGTACTGCTTAATTTATTGATTTATTTTTATGTCATTTGAATGTTTGCCTTTTTATGTTGTGAGCTGCCATGAGTTCCCATGGGGAGATGGGGCAGGATATAAATAAAGTTTTACTTAAAACAGGCATGGTCAAACTTCAGCCTGCCAGGTGTTTTGGAGTTCGACTCCCACAATTCCTAACAGTAAGATCAAACTAAACATAGAACTATGAAAATAAATACTTAAAATAATATAAAACCATTAAAATATTCACATGCTCAAGGCACTCAGCCCCATCTGATCCTGGCAGGTAGCATACTCAGCCCTGGTTAATACTTGAATGGGAGGCAGCTAACAAGTAGCAGCGATATTTCAGAGGAAGGAAGTGGCAAATAGCACCTCTAAGTATTCCTTGCCTAAAGAAACTTTGTGAAATCAATGAGGTCTCTATAAGTCAAAAGATGACTTGAAGGCACATAAACACACTTACACAAGACTTCAGCCACAAAGACTCTCACATATTAATTGTTAGTCTTACATATTGTGAATTTGACAGTTTCTTGCCCTCAGGATTATAATCTAAATAAAACAAGACACACTAGGAAAAGGGAATGACACCGAGGAAGGATATTAAAGGCAGTATTCCAGTTCATCGTCCATAGTCATGGATTCTTCATCCAGGAGTTCAACCATCCCTGGCTTGAAAATACCTCCCCCCCACGCCCCAAAGTTCTACAAAGCAAATGTTGATTTTGCCAGTTTGACTCTGTTGCTGTATATAACTGGACCTTAATGTCAACAGATGTTGGTATCCTGAAACTTAATCTCAGTGGATATGACGAGTCCACTGTGCATGCATTTCTCCCATTGGGTTGTTGTAGGTTTTTCCGGGCTATATGGCCATGTTCTGGAGGCAATTTTTCTCCTGACGTTTTGCCTGCATCTATGGCAAGCATCCTCAGAGGTAGTGAGGTCTGTTGGAAGTAGGAAAAATGGGTTTATATATCTGTGGAATGACCAGGGTGAGACAAAGGACTTTTGTCTGCTGGGGCTAGGTGTGAATGTTTCAGCTGATCACCTTGATTAGCATTCAATGGCTTGGAAGTGCCTGGGGGGAATCTTTTGTTGAGAGTGATTTTATGTGCCTGTTTGTTTCCCCTCTGTTGTTTTGCTGTTGTAATTTTTGAGTTTTTTAATACTGGTAGCCAGATTTTGTTCATTTTCATGGTTTCTTCCTTTCTGTTGAAATTGTCCACATGTTTGTGGATTTCAATGGCTTCTCTGTGTAGTCTGACATGGTGGTTGTGAGAGTGATCCAGCACTTCTGTGTTCTCAAATAATATGCTGTGTCCCATTGCTTTCTCCCATTGCTTTCATCTTTCCCCTGCTTGTTTTTACTGAACAGCTTTCTGTAACTATTAACTTTATTATTCATTTTCTCATTGCTATTGATCAATATACCATTACTGATAGGCATGGTGTTTTGTGGCATTTTGTATGCCCTTTGTGATCATACCTTTGCCATAACAATATGCCTCTCATTTTAAAGAAAAGAGGCATAGAAAGAATGACAGAGAAAGGCTTTTGGTTTTCCTGGAACTAAAAATCCAAGTCTGTCATTGTGAATTGTACTGCCAGGACTTCATCAGTTCCTCTTGGCAGCTTTGCATTGTCCTGTAGCCATTGGGCCTTAATTTTCAGCCTGCGGAATTTAACCCTATTGTTCCTTTCTGTTTAACTGACTGTTTAATTAGTGACTCCTAAGGAATGCTGGTATCTTTCTACTTTTCCCCATCTTCAGGGTCTCCTGCTGTGGCTCCCTGGGGTCTATACTTCAACTCTACACAAGTTACAACTTCTCATACTCACCTCCATCCACTTGCTGCTCCTTGTGACAGTTCTTTCCTGTCACAGAGGTTGCTTTTACATGAGTGTCAACATGTTGTAGCGTGTATTTCTTCAGCACATGAGATTGCAACCTCTGTTCTGGTTGCATTCTTAATAAGGATAGAGGGGGTAGCCAAATATCTTTGTTGTCATGTGGGGTAGCCAAATATCTTTGTAGTCATGTGGGGTAGCCAAATATCTTTGTTGTTGTGCTCTCTAGCCATACACGCTAATGGGCAGTCCTTGCAAGAAATACTCATTTTTAGTAGAACAGTCCATACTTGTATTCTTCATGTTCATGGTATCGAAGATTTAAGGGGATTTGTTAAACTGAAATTACTAATGTGAACGTGGTTAACGTTTATGCAAGATCATACTTTCCCTACCTTATTAAACTAAAAAAATCATTTACATGGTTTTGCATCTTCACTACCCTTAAAAAGGCA